TTTTTTTTTTTTTTACCAGATTACCGAGAGTTGCAAAATAATAATAATTACACTTTTAAAGAAATGATCATCGAGTTAAGGATAATTGTTATTGGACAATAATTAACGCCAAAAAAAAACAGTATAAAAAATTATTCTGTGACATTTGATTGCAGTTCCATATTAAAAAAAAGAAAAAAAAGAAAGAAAAGAAAATACTTTTGAAATCAATGACGTAAAGACATTAATTTGATTTTAATGAATATTATAATAATTTTTGTTAATAATTTGAGAAAAATTTTATATTTTAATATAGACTTTTGAAAAATTAAATTATAAAAATTGTTGTCACAAAATATTTTTCTCATGATAGATTAGGATTTTTTAATTTAAATTTTCATTGACAAAATTTTCCGTTACACTTTTATTTTTTTTTTTGATTATCACTGTACTATGGGATCTCTATTGTGATTGAGTAAATGTTTCATAAATTGTTATTTGAATATAATAGATTTTAAATTACGGGAGAGAAAAAAATCAAGGAGTGATAGTATTTTTTTTTTTTTTTATTATCTCATAACCTTATCTCCCTCGTGCTGGTTGCATCTCTAAGAAGAATGACAGATAAACTTTTGTTGTAATCGAAACGTTTAAATATGCACCTAACGGATGTTTATATTAATCGACTTGTATTAAAATCATTCACGTTCTATAGATTAATTTCATCGTTCTTTGTATATTAAATTGAATAGTCTCAAAAAGATTATAATTAAATAGTTACAATTTCAACTAGTAAATAATTATTATATTATTCTTTTTATTTAATAAATATTTATATAGAGAAATTAAAAAAATTAATAATTTAGGAAACATTACTTAATTATTAAAAAAAAAATAATTTTGATGAATCATATATGAAAAAACAATCTAGAAAGTTTTATAAAGATTTTTTTTACATTAGTCACTGGAACTAATTTGATGATTCGGACCACTTAGCAATTGTTACAAGGCTTCGGTCATTTAAATTCATGCGAAATTGATAGCCAAGACATTCAATTTGAATATTTCTTTCACTTCTATTATTTTAAATCTTGGTGTTTATCTAATTTATTGATTTGAGAAGAAATATATATTTTTTTGTCCACCAAAATTTTTTTTTTTATATTTTAAAAATAAAGATATTTTTATCGTAATTGTTTGAAAATTTAAAATCAGTAATAGAATTATAAAAGTTGCATTTATTTATATATATTACATATACGAAGAAGAGATATAAATTGTGATTTAAATATAAGACAGCTTTAAGGCAAAGGTCTTGTACTTTCTCTTGCAAACTGGACCCAATAATGATTATTACGCGTGACTCGGACAAAATTGAATGTTCGATCAATTGACAACCTTTTGCCAATGAGAAAGAAAAAAAAATAACAAGAAGCTCTTTTTTTCAATTTGCAATATACAACTTCATCATCCACTTGATGATTGTAATTAAGCTATACTTTTGGATTTTATAACAATTGTCTAATGTAACTATATCATTAACTAAAGTTATATCATTGAAAAAACTACTATTTAATTAATAATTAATAATAATAATAAATTAATTAATTAATAACGCTACCATTCACCATCGATAATATTTTTTACATAAAGCTACGAAACTTAAAAAATAATTCGTTTCTATTAAAAAAAAAAATTTATTTGTTTCAAATAATCGACTACTTACTAATAAATATTTACTTGAAGGAAATAATTTTTGAAACCAAATAATTGAATTAAATAAACTATTTTAATTGATAATTTCTGTATTTAATACAAATACCGTTTAATTGATTCAAAAAAAAATTATTTGGTTCAAGTAAATATATTTATTTGAATAAAAATTATTTGGTTTCAAGTAAATATTTATTCGAATAAAAATTATTTGGTTTCAAGTAATTTTAATTATTTGAATAAAAATTATTTGGTTTCAAGCATGGACGTAAGAAGTAAATGGACCCAGCACAAAGTTGCGGGGTGGGGACTCATGTAGGTAAGAGGAGAACTGTTCAGTGCGCATGAATTGGTGGAAATTCTGTGATTGGTCGAACATTGCGTCGTGTATAGCAGACGATGCAAAATGGAAATCGACTATTGTTTGTTGACAATGTGTCTAGCGGTTTTAATTATGCATTCTATTATAATCTTAGAATAAGTAAAACATGGTAAAAAAATATGAAAAATGCATTATTAAAACGTGTGAAAATTCTCGGACTATTAAAACAAATGGAAATAAGAAAAATGTGACATATCACAGGTAAGTATTTATCTCGTGTTTCTCTGTTTGTTCACGGTACAGGTTATGTTTTTAACAATTTTTATGTGACATTTTTTAATTATTAATTTCATTATTTATAGAAATAGTTGATCATATTTCTTTTAAATGTATCTATTCATAATTTATTTTTATTAATTTTTTTATAATTCATTTTGTATTATTAATAACATTATTATATCGTGTTATATTTTATTTATTGCATATTGTTTTGTATTTGGAAAATATCTGTTTTATATTAAATATTTACAGAAAAATGTTATTAATTAATTTAATGGACACTTTTTTGAAAAACATATTTTTTTAGATTGAAATTTACGGATTTTATTACAAGTTACTTTTTATAATTATGTTATTCGTTTTAAATTACGCGCGCCGGCGCAAGCGTACTAAACGGCCAATCAACGTACTTCCACCAATGCCTCACCCTTCACCGAAGATCGGTTTTACCCCCCTTGTCTATCAAACATACAACGTGCTGGGTCCATTTACTTCTTACGTCCATGGTTTCAAGTAATTTTAATTATTTGAATAAAAATTATTTGGTTTCAAGTAAATAATTATTTAAATAAAAATTATTTGGTTTCAAGTAAATAATTATTTAAATAAAAATTATTTGGTTTCAAGTAAATAGAATTATTTGGTTTCAAGTAAATAATTATTTAAATAAAAATTATTTGGTTTCAAGTAAATATTTATTTGAAGAAATAAATTTTCAAAATCAATTTTAATTGGGACAGGCATTAAAAGATTGAGAAATTTAATGAATGTAATAATGAAAGATAAATTGTTGGAGTTAGTTAGAAAGAATTAAATTTCATTAAGTTGATTGAAGTGTATGTTATACTTGAATCAAGAAATTGAAGAAACAGTATAAAAGAAAGAGAGTTGAAATGAGGAGTATATAGCAGAAAAGTATAAAGGATATAAAGGTGGTTCTTCGACTTTTCTCTCTCTCTTTCTCTTTCGCAATAAAAGAGAGAGAGAGAGACCTGATCTTGTGCGGGGTTTAATCGTGTACTTGCACAGTATTTTATCGCCGCGCAACCAAGAGAACTTTAACGAAGCTTTACGACTTGGATCGAAGGCGTCTGGGAATAGAAGTTCTATCATTTAAAAGATCTGCTTTATTTTCTTTTCTTTTTTTTTTTTTTATTTATTCCTCGAAACGAACTCTGCTCCCTTGCCCCATACTCATTATCCTTCATTTCATCCCAAGCTCTACTTCCATTAGTGTGTGGCCCTCATAAGAACATCCAAAATGATTATATCAAATCCTTTATATATTTAAAGTTGTACCATATTTTTCAATTCTTTGTTTTTTTATAATTTATTATAAATAAAATTATTATAATTATTTATAATTATTTATAATTTTATTTATTTTTTAATTATTTATTAATTAATGTAATATAAAATTATTAATTCTTATTTATTATCTATTAATTATTAAATAATTTATTTAATATTAATTATATTTTTTGTGAACAATTTTGTTTACTATTGTAATCACCTTAATAATAATAATAATAATGAAGTTTGAAGATATAATCGTCACCCCCCGGGAAAAATTTAAAAAAAAATTAAGAGAAATAAACATATGTGAATAATGTAGGAAATTAACAATAAAACTTGTTTGTTTATATAGCGAGTTATCTCATCTATAAGATAAAGGAAGCAAAAATTGTACAGTCGTATTTAGAAGAAAAAAAAAAAAAAAAAAATGAGACGTTTCTTCTCACGTTGAGGAAAAAGATAGAAACTAACTATAAGGGAGGATAGGTATCAGATGAGAACATTGACCCAAGTTACGGTAACATCAAGTACAGCTGCACCTGCTTGATATGGACTTATCCCTCACTTGATCACGATAAACGACAAATTATTATTCATTAGGGGGGGAATTATGCTTTCTTTAAAATAGAATTAAAAAACCTCTCTTGTCCCCTTGGTCATTCATTTTAACACTTTAGAGAACATAAAAAGTGGGAAAATAAAAAAAAAAAAAAGATTAATGGAAAAAGAAAGTGAAACAAAAAATTTAATAGAAGATCAAAAAGAAACGATAAAAATTTAAAAAAATGATCTTTTTTTTATAAAAACGATTGAAGTGAAAGTAAAATATTTTTATAATATGATTTTTATAGAAAAAATTAAGGCAAGAATAAATTATTGGATAAAGAAATTAATAAATAAAAAAAATAATTAATTTTTGTATAAATAATTTTTAATTAATTTAATAATTATAAATATTAATTTAATAATTATAAATATTAATTTAATAGTTGTTTATAATACAAACAAAATTTCGTTTTGCAAAAAAAAAATTGATTTATACTGTCGCGATCGTATTTCTTTGTTGACAACATTATTTTCCGTACAGGATTGTAATGAATTATTAATGGGAGAATCTATACTAATCTGGATGAACATTCCAAGAGGCGAGGAAAGGTCAAACCATTATTGACCTCGAAACTTTCTAAGATCGGTTTATCTATCGATGTGACACCTTCTCCTGTCATTATTATTATTATTATTACATTCTATTCCTCTATAATGATTTCTTATCATATTCAATTTTCTCTAATTCATCCTGTTAATTAATTGTTAGTCCATTACTATCAAAAAATTAATTTAATTGTAATAAAATAATAAAATAATAAAATTAAAAAAAAAATTTTAATGAAAATATTTTTTTTTGTTACAGATTTGGCGAAAATTCGAGCACTGGTTGAATCAACGACAGTATTGAGTGGACCAATGTGCCCATCATGTGAAATGCCATTCGATAAGGGTAAAAAAAGACGTCTAATAGATTCATGCGGTCACGAGAGATGTTATTCATGTTTATTTCGAAGTGAGGCCTGCCCTCTTTGCTTACGAAGAAATGAGGAGGATCATTTTAACGAGGAAGACGGCCTCGAGGGCCCTTTTCGCGACGGAAGATTTTGCCCCTCGGGGCCCTTGTCTATGCAACATCCCACCGAGGACTGGATCGACGACTCTTCTACTGTAAATTCCTTATGTAGCAGTCCAAGACCACGTACACGAGGGCCACTCATTCTACCACGTTCTGTGAGTCAAATTTTTTCCCTTTTTTTTTTTTATTTACATTTTTTTTTTCTAATTACATTTTTATTATTTCATAATAAGAAATAATAATTTTTTCCATTTAAAGCATAAACAAAAATCACGTGGTCATGTTTTCTAATAATGTTATTTGCAAAGGCAATTTATGTTTTTATTAACGAATAAATCAAAAGGAGCTTTCGTCAGTATTTGCATTTGAAGTTAAAGTCTAAAAAAAAAAATTTTTTTGCCTTTCAACGAGATTGACACTTAAAATGACTTTTTTTTACATATGGACTCTGTGTCTTGACGTGAAAGTATCATTAAAACCACTTTTATGAGGGTTCATGAATAGTTTATAAATTTCGACATATTCTCTATGAAAAGTCAGGTGTCTAATAATATTTTACAAAGGTATATAAATTAATGGCCAATAAAACGATAATTCCACAGCATAATTAGTCAAAAAAAAAAAAAAAAAAAATGAAAATTTATAATTTTTAGTGATAGCTTCCTTTTTTCATTATACAAACCGTTTAATTTTTTTTTTCGGCAAAAAACAAATGTAAAGAGGTCCTTATGTAGGTAAATGTAAAATTTTACATGCCATTGAAAAATGGTGACACATTCCACCCACACATGTAAAATACCACTCCCACGTGTTTTGAATCGTGAAACTTGACGTTTTGCAACCCACTCTCTTCGATTTTGCTTCCTTTTAATACATATATACAAAAGGTTAAACCAGATCAGGGATATCAGTTGCCCCCCTATAGAAATATTTTATTTTTTCTGTCTAGACACTTTTAGAAATCATTTCAAAATCACTCATCACGTAAATTTGTCCTTTGACGTTCATCAAAAAACTCTACAAAAAAAAAATTCAAATTCTATTTAAGTATTGGAATTTTTAAAAAATAGAAAATAAAAAAATTTAATTTTTTAGAATAGAATTCAATAATTATTGTTTTTAATATTATAATAAAATGTAATTCTAATTATTATTTTTGAATATTAATTATAATATTTAATATTAATTGGGGTATTTTATTTCGATTTTTTTTTGTTTTTTACTTTGTTTGATTTTTCAAAAAATTTTGTAAAAATAATCATTAAGATTAACGAGCAGTTTTAATGAATCGTTTAATTTTTAATTAAAACGTATATACTTTCAGCAACGCGATGGGAACGAAATTAATTCTTCCTCGGCGATGGGAAGGCTCAAACCTCCAGTTTTACCCGAGTCTTCATCTTCAAAACACAAAGTTAATCCAATGGCTCAAAGTAAGAATTTTTTTTTCAAAATTAATTAAAAATTAATTAAAAATTCTTTTTTTACTGAAATACATTTTTTTTTATTTCAAAAAATATAATTTTTAAATTTTAAAAAAGAATTTTTATAAATAATAAAATTTTTCATAAAAAATTAAATTAATTTTTCATCTTATAACAGGAAATAAATAAAAAAAAATGAAATATAAATATAGCGTTGAGAAAATAATAGAATTTTTATAAAACTGAATTTTTTGTGTTTACTTTTACAGGTTGCCCAACGCCTCCTGCTCAACGGAAAAGATTTTTCCTCAATTCAAAGGCGTTAAAAAGTCCCTTTAGTTCACAAAGATCCGGAAAACGAGATCCAATATCTACAGAGCAAAGTGCAAACGACAACCCGTCAGCGTTATCAGGTAAAACATTTCTGACGATTATTATGAAATGCTTTATACATTGGAACTCCATTTGCTTCGGTAAATGAACAATTTTGAGATTCCATTAAAAAATCATAACACACACGAGCTAAGTGAAAGGTCAACAAAAAAAATATTACATGTTAATGAAGCCAAATTGGAATTCATTCAAGCAAAAAAAAAAAAAAAAAAGTAGAAAAGAAACTTTAAATGGGAAAAATTTGAAACTTTTTTAGTTCTCAAGAATTTTCGTTTGTAGATTTTTAAATTAATAACTTATATTTAAATTTTTTTTATTTTCAATTATTAATATTGAAAAAATAGAAAGTAAAATTAGAAAATACGTAGCAAATTTGCCAAGATTCATAAGAAAAAAAAACCGGTAAACATAAAATGAAATTGTGTGGAAAATTGGTTATTTTTAACGATTGAATAAACAAATTGAAATTTAGCATGGATGACGACTTCCCTGGAGGGAAAGTCAAGATGGACGGGAATTGTTCTTGGAAAGATCAAAAATCTATGGAGCAGTAGCCAAGGAACTGCTAGTAATGGATTAAATCAACTCGTTGATACATGCAACAAAATCCAAGGCAGGAAATTCATTCCAGTCGTGTGCAATAATTGTTGATTTTAAATTTTGTGTGTCTGCTTGGCAAAAATCAAAAAATTTGCTTCTGCTTCAATTTTTCTCTGATATTCCTTTTAACATTTATCACTTTTCAAGAATTGATGTTATTAAAATCCTGATTTACTAAATTTCACAAAATTATTATTTTTTTTTTGAAAAATATTTTCTTTCTTTACAGATGACGAAAGTGTAAAGCCAATAGCCTCTTCGAAAACAAAGAAATCGTCACAATCGGATCTTTACATGAGACTGGGACTTCTTTTGGGTAATGGAAGACATGCCGGTGTTGACGTTACTGAACTTCCGGGACAAACACGTCCTCAATCGAATCCAAAATTAAAATTACCCCATTTAAATAATTTACAACAGGGCCACGACAGTTCAGCGGCATCGTTTAGTAGTTTAACAAGTTTTGAGACACAAACACATCCATCGAATAATACAAGTCCAGTGTCAACATTAACTGGTACATCAAGTGAGGCTGAAGCCGTGGCAGCACTACGAAGTCCATTAAAACTCAAGGGTAAAGTTAAGGGTGTCAAAAGTAAATCATCATCACGCGATTGTGATAGTGCCGGAAGTTTAGCATCAATATCAACATCAGCTTCAAATTCCATGTCAATGTCGGTTTCCGTTTCTGGATTATCAAATGGAAGTGCAAGTCCACTCACAACAAGAAGACATTCCGTGACTACCTCACAACCTGGACAAGTTGATGAGCTCGGTCAGACTTTATTTAAAAATCGAAAAACATGCGTGAGACGATCAGCACGCGCTGGCACTGTCAAGGGATCATTCGACTCCAAAAGTAAGATTGAAAAAAAAATATATATATTTTTAAGCAATTTTTATTTATTTCCTTGTTTATTATTAAATTTTTATTTTTTTACAGTGCGATTTCTTCATGCAGCGCAACTGACGTTGAAACCTCTTTTCTTTGAGGTTCCATTATTGGAGATTGATCCCGTTTTTACTGGACGTCTCTGGTTGCTTCAAGAATTTGAAGCTGTTGTCCAGGGATCAAGTTCCGGTATTCTCATTTCAGGATCACCGGGAACAGGAAAGACTGCCTTAATTCTTCAACTTGTCGAATACAGTTGCTTTGGTCGTCGTAAAGATCAAAAGGAATCACAAAAAGTTGAAAATGAGGAAAAAATTGAAATTTCTCCACATCCAAGCATCAAATCTACAAACGATAGGGTAAGTTTAATTACATTTTTTTTTCTTTAAAAAAACATTTTTTGATAATTAAATATCTAATTAAATGTTAATCTTAAATTAAAAAATTTAATTTAAAAACTTTTTTTTAAAAATTGAGTCACTATATTTAAATACTGATTTAAATTATCAACGAAAAACGTTTTGTAAGAATTTTTATTGTAATCTATATATGACGTAATTTTGCTGATATCTTTATCGGTATTGCAACAGATTTTTGAAGTACTTTTACTTTTAAAGTTTCGTATTCTCTCGTTGCGTGATTAATCGGTTACGTTTTTTTTTTTGTTTTGTTTTTTTGCAGATTCGTGACCTGGCATCCCACGTCGTGGCTTACCACTTTTGTCAGGCTGATAACAACTGCACCTGTCTTGTACCTGACTTGATTCATTCTTTAGCAGCACAACTCTGTCAAGCTCCACAACTTGCAGCTTACAGAGAATACTTACTATCAGAGCCACATCTCCAAAGATCCCTTTCACTCAGGGAGTGTACTGTCGATCCAGATCTTGCTTTATCGCGAGGAATTATCGAACCTCTTTTGAGTCTCAGACGTGCCGGGAGGTTGCCGGAAATAAATATGGTAATTTCTTTTCATGTTTCTTTTTTTTTTGCGAATTAATTTAAAATTACATAATTAATAATTTGGTCAAATGAAAATGAAATGGATAAATTTTATTAATTTAAATAGAAAATTTGTAATTTTATTTGAAAAAAATAATTATGTGCAAAAAAAAAAAAATTACAGATGATATTGATTGACGCGGTTTGTGAGGCAGAATATCACAGGCCAGATAGAGGAGATACAATTGCCTCTTTTTTGACGAGACACACACCAAATTTTCCAAGTTGGTTGAAAATTGTCTGTACAGTGAGAACACAACTTCAAGAATGTACGAAACAATTCCCCTATACAAGAATTTGTCTTGATAAAAGTATAAACGATCCAATGGGAATTAATATCACGAAGGATCTCACCGATTATGTCAACTATCGTCTAACTCAAAGTTCAGCAATTCAGACAAATGTCACAGCATCATTGAATGGGAAGGCAGAATCTTCAAATAGTGCAACTCAAACGCGATTTATTTCACATTTATTGAATCTCGCAAAGGGTTGCTTTTTATTTGTTAAATTGACATTAGATCTTATCGAGAGTGGACATTTGGTGGCTAAATCGGCTAGTTATAAGGTATGTTTCATATTTTTCGTATATTTTAATTCTAATTGGAAAAATTATTAAAAGAAGAAAAATTTATATAAATTATATATTCTGTATTGAAATTTTAGGTTTTGCCAGTTTCTCTCGCTCAGATTTATCTTTTACATTTTAATCTGAGATTTCCCACAGCAACCTCGTTTGATAAGGTACAACCTCTTCTTGGTGTTTGTCTAGCTGCTTTGTATCCGTTAACTCTTCCGGAAATTTATTATTCAGTCAATGCCCTGAACATGGACAGTTTCGTTTCCTGGGAAGACTTCATGCAGAGATTCAAGGTAAGAAAAAAATTTATAATTTCTTTTTAAAAACATTTAATGATTATTTGTTTTGTTGCTTCCTTCCTGCAAAGGATAAGTAAGTGAATAAAAATGGGTTAATTAATAAAGTTTTCTTTTTGTATTGTATTTCTACAAAATTTAAAAATATATTTTTTTACAGATGCTCTCCGGTTTTCTTGTGAAACGTTTAGACAATACATATATGTTCTTTCATCCATCGTTCAGAGAATGGTTAATGAGGAGAGATGAAGGCGAATCAACGAAATTTTTGTGCGATTTACGATTGGGACATACGGCAATTGCTTTTCGATTATCGAGACTTCAAGCTCCATTGGATGGTGAAAAAGCTTTAGAACTTGGTCATCATATTTTAAAAGCTCACGTCTATAGAGGAGTTACACCATGTTGGCCTTCAAGAGATCTTCAGGTAAGAATCTTTTTAAATTTCTAAAAATCAGGAAAAGAAGCATGCGCAAAGCGCCTACATTAAGAGTTTCATGGCTTTTTATTGCATATTCTTGCACAAAATACACCTAAAAGTGTAGAAAAAAATCGACAGCCAAATCCGAGTAGAGGAAGACCCCTATTATGACCAAAAACTCATTCAGGTAAAAAAAAAAAATTTCGAAAAAAATTCAATTTTTCTTAGGCACACAATTTTATTGCATATTCTTGCACAAAATACACCTAAAAGTGTAGAAAAAAATCGACAGCCAAATCTGAGTAGAGGAAGACCCCTATTATGACCAAAAACTCATTCAGGTAAAAAAAAAAAATTTCGAAAAAAATTCAATTTTTCTTAGGCACACGATTTTATTGCATATTCTTGCACAAAATACACCTAAAAGTGTAGAAAAAAATCGACAGCCAAATCTGAGTAGAGGAAGACCCCTATTATGACCAAAAACTCATTCAGGTAAAAAAAAAAAATTTCGAAAAAAATTCAATTTTTCTTAGGCACACGATTTTATTGCATATTCTTGCACAAAATACATTTTAAAGTGTAGAAAAAAATCGACAGCCAAATCCGAGTAGAGGAAGACCCCTATTATGACCAAAAACTCATTCAGGTAAAAAAAAAAAATTTCGAAAAAAATTCAATTTTTCTTAGGCACACGATTTTATTGCATATTCTTGCACAAAATACACCTAAAAGTGTAGAAAAAAATCGACAGCCAAATCCGAGTAGAGGAAGACCCCTATTATGACCAAAAACTCATTCAGGTAAAAAAAAAAAATTTCGAAAAAAATTCAATTTTTCTTAGGCACACGATTTTATTGCATATTCTTGCACAAAATACACCTAAAGGTGTAGAAAAAAATCGACAGCCAAATCTGAGTAGAGGAAGACCCCTATTATGACCAAAAACTCATTCAGGTAAAAAAAAAAAATTTCGAAAAAAATTCAATTTTTCTTAGGCACACGATTTTATTGCATATTCTTGCACAAAATACATTTTAAAGTGTAGAAAAAAATCGACAGCCAAATCCGAGTAGAGGAAGACCCCTATTATGACCAAAAACTCATTCAGGTAAAAAAAAAAAATTTCGAAAAAAATTCAATTTTTCTTAGGCACACGATTTTATTGCATATTCTTGCACAAAATACACCTAAAGGTGTAGAAAAAAATCGACAGCCAAATCTGAGTAGAGGAAGACCCCTATTATGACCAAAAACTCATTCAGGTAAAAAAAAAAAATTTCGAAAAAAATTCAATTTTTCTTAGGCACACGATTTTATTGCATATTCTTGCACAAAATACATTTTAAAGTGTAGAAAAAAATCGACAGCCAAATCCGAGTAGAGGAAGACCCCTATTATGACCAAAAACTCATTCAGGTAAAAAAAAAAAATTTCGAAAAAAATTCAATTTTTCTTAGGCACACGATTTTATTGCATATTCTTGCACAAAATACACCTAAAAGTGTAGAAAAAAATCGACAGTCAAATCCGAGTAGAGGAAGACCCCTATTATGACCAAAAACTCATTCAGGTAAAAAAAAAAAATTTCGAAAAAAATTCAATTTTTCTTAGGCACACGATTTTATTGCATATTCTTGCACAAAATACACCTAAAAGTGTAGAAAAAAATCGACAGCCAAATCTGAGTAGAGGAAGACCCCTATTATGACCAAAAACTCATTCAGGTAAAAAAAAAAAATTTCGAAAAAAATTCAATTTTTCTTAGGCACACGATTTTATTGCATATTCTTGCACAAAATACATTTTAAAGTGTAGAAAAAAATCGACAGCCAAATCCGAGTAGAGGAAGACCCCTATTATGACCAAAAACTCATTCAGGTAAAAAAAAAAAATTTCGAAAAAAATTCAATTTTTCTTAGGCACACGATTTTATTGCATATTCTTGCACAAAATACACCTAAAAGTGTAGAAAAAAATCGACAGCCAAATCTGAGTAGAGGAAGACCCCTATTATGACCAAAAACTCATTCAGGTAAAAAAAAAAAATTTCGAAAAAAATTCAATTTTTCTTAGGCACACGATTTTATTGCATATTCTTGCACAAAATACATTTTAAAGTGTAGAAAAAAATCGACAGCCAAATCCGAGTAGAGGAAGACCCCTATTATGACCAAAAACTCATTCAGGTAAAAAAAAAAAATTTCGAAAAAAATTCAATTTTTCTTAGGCACACGATTTTATTGCATATTCTTGCACAAAATACACCTAAAAGTGTAGAAAAAAATCGACAGCCAAATCTGAGTAGAGGAAGACCCCTATTATGACCAAAAACTCATTCAGGTAAAAAAAAAAAATTTCGAAAAAAATTCAATTTTTCTTAGGCACACGATTTTATTGCATATTCTTGCACAAAATACACCTAAAAGTGTAGAAAAAAATCGACAGCCAAATCTGAGTAGAGGAAGACCCCTATTATGACCAAAAACTCATTCAGGTAAAAAAAAAAAATTTCGAAAAAAATTCAATTTTTCTTAGGCACACGATTTTATTGCATATTCTTGCACAAAATACATTTTTAAGTGTAGAAAAAAATCGACAGCCAAATCCGAGTAGAGGAAGACCCCTATTATGACCAAAAACTCATTCAGGTAAAAAAAAAAAATTTCGAAAAAAATTCAATTTTTCTTAGGCACACGATTTTATTGCATATTCTTGCACAAAATACACCTAAAAGTGTAGAAAAAAATCGACAGCCAAATCTGAGTAGAGGAAGACCCCTATTATGACCAAAAACTCATTCAGGTAAAAAAAAAAAATTTCGAAAAAAATTCAATTTTTCTTAGGCACACGATTTTATTGCATATTCTTGCACAAAATACATTTTAAAGTGTAGAAAAAAATCGACAGCCAAATCCGAGTAGAGGAAGACCCCTATTATGACCAAAAACTCATTCAGGTAAAAAAAAAAAATTTCGAAAAAAATTCAATTTTTCTTAGGCACACGATTTTATTGCATATTCTTGCACAAAATACATTTTAAAGTGTAGAAAAAAATCGACAGCCAAATCCGAGTAGAGGAAGACCCCTATTATGACCAAAAACTCATTCAGGTAAAAAAAAAAAATTTCGAAAAAAATTCAATTTTTCTTAGGCACTCGATTTTATTGCATATTCTTGCACAAAATACACCTAAAAGTGTAGAAAAAAATCGACAGCCAAATCCGAGTAGAGGAAGACCCCTATTATGACCAAAATCTCATCCAGGTAAAAAAAAAAAATTTCGAAAAAAATTCAATTTTTCTTTGGCAGACAAACCATACGAGTGTACGACGGACGGACAGACAGACAGACAGACAAATGCTATGGTATCTGTTTCCATGAGAATCATTGCTGATTCTACATTGGCTGCCCAAACGTGAACGTGCTGACGTCACAATTTGTTTTTTTTTCAGGCTTCGTGGTTGGCATCATCTTCGGAATGCGTATCATCGGCACTTTGTACATTGAGAAATATTTACAGTCCAAATGTAAAAGTATCAAGATTGCTTCTGCTGGCAGGAGCATCTCCAAATTTCATCACTGAATATCTTGGAAATGCACCGGCACTTTGTATGTACGCTCATGAAGGTTCCGTGGAAATGGTTTCACTTTTATTGGAATTTGGCGCCGATGTTGAATTGACGAATAGTCAAGGTTGCACGGCTCTTTCTCTTGCATCTGCTCGAGGTCACTGTGATGTTGTTAGAAGGTAATTTTCAAAGGAAGAAATACTTTTTATATTTTAATTCATATTTAATTTTAAAAAATTAATTTCCATTTTTAGACTTGCTGCTGCGGGAGCTTCTCTAGGACATGCGGATATGGCGGGTCAGTGTTCACTGGTCCATGCGGCTAGACATGGACGCCTTTCGGTCGTAGGCTATCTACTCGCTTGCGATTGGCACATTCCTAAAACACAGGAGATTGAAACAAGAATTCCAGAGTTGGGTAGAGAAGAAGCAGCTCAGCAAGCGGTTGTTGCTGCTGCGGCTCAAGGTCACGAATCAATTGTCGAATATCTATTAGATATGGCAGAGGTGACGGTCGATGAACCCGATAGTTTAATTGGTGAAACAGCATTGACAGTAGCGGCTGCAAATGGATCTACGGCAACTGTCTCGGCACTTCTTGCTCGCGGAGCGAATCCACTTGCTACTAATGCAAAGGGCCTGAGTCCTCTTATGTTGGCAGCTAAAGAGGGTCATTGGGGAACTGCCGAAAGAATTCTTCAAGGTGAGAATTAATTTGAAATACATAATTAAACCAAATAATTAAAATTAATTAATTTATTAATAATGATAATTTTACAGCGACACTTACGGCAAGTAGTGATCAAGTGGTGGACGAATGTATTCCACTTTTAGCACAAAAAGATGGCGCAGGACGAAATTGCCTGATGATAGCTGCCGGTGAGGGTCATACGAATTTAATTGAACTCTTTTTGGATAAAGGATCAGTAATAGAAGCGACTGATAGAGAAGGACTCACGGCTCTCGCTTGGGCTTGTGTTCGTGGAAGATTGGCAGCTGTGCAACATCTCATTGAACGTGGAGCTGAAGTTAATACAACTGATAATACCGGTAGAACTCCTTTGGATTTGGCTGCATTTCAGGTACATTTCAATATATTCAATTATTTATTGAAGATTTAATGTTCTGAATGAATTTAACAAAAAAATGAAAATTACAGGGTAATCCAAAACTTGTACAGTTTTTGCTTGAGAAAGGCGCGGCTGTTGAGCATGTCGATATTCATGGAATGAGACCACTCGACAGGGCAATTGGTTGTCGAAATGTATTAGTGGTTCAGTGTTTCCTGCGAAGAGGAGCAAAATTAGGACCAGCAACATGGGCAATGGCAGCGGGAAAACCAGATGTTCTTCTTATTTTGTTAAATAAACTTCTTGAAGATGGTAATGTACTCTACAGAAAGGGTCGACTCAAAGAAGCATCACATCGTTATGCCTATGCTCTTAGAAAATTTCCTGAACCTCCCGAACAAATTCACAATCGTAAACTCCAAGAACACAGTCAATTGTTGCTTCATCTTCAAACATTTGCTCAACTCAGGCTCAATTTTCTCCTTAATCTCAGTCGATGCAAACGTAAAATGAATGTAAGTAATTTTTACTTTTTATTTTTTCTGAATTTTTTTGTGTGATTTTCGCAAGAGAAAAATATTTCTTTAAATTGTAGGAATTTGAAGAAGCTATAGAGTTGGCGGATGAAGCATTGAAAATCAAACCATCATCATATGAAGCCTATTATGCGAGGGCGAAGGCACGAATTGACGTTGACTATCTTGACGAAGCACTTGCCGATGCACAAGAAGCACTTCATATTATTCCTCTACACAATCGAGAGGATCGAAGAGTATTGACTGCACTGAGGGATGAGATAATCTCGCGACTTGAAGGCTCAGGTATGGGGACCAGTAAGGGGTACGAAGGCGGCGGTTCAAGGTGTCGTCTTCGTGCCTCCATTGACACGCTTACAGAATTGTAAATTTATTTCCTTTATTATAGAAAGAAAGAGAGAGAGAAAGATATTTCCCACGTAGAATTTAAGAAAAAAAAACTGATCAACTCACTGGTTTGAGGAAAATCAGTCTTTTTTTAAAAAACGAAACGATCAAATCGTTTGTTTATCGAATTTTCCTCCTGTTCCCAGGTTTCCTTGTTCAATTATAATTGAAAATTTTTTTTTTTTGAATTCATTTTTCCATTCGATTTAACGATTACAAAATTTAATATATTTATGACTAAATTCGTGTATTATGTAGTCTAGATTACGCGTGGCTTTATTATCGTTGTTAAGTTGAAAAAAATTATTTATCTCATTCAGTATTTTTTCGAAATTTTCGAATTGTTTTTAGAAATTTTTTTTAATTTTGCGAAACCTTATTTATTGATTTATTTAAATTTCTAAATTTAAGCGAAATTTACTTTTAAGAAACACACACATATATATATATATATATATATATATATATATATATATATATATATAAAACATATCTTGCCATGAAACATCAATTGTCGAAAATATTTACTAATTAATTATATTAATTATTCAATTATTAATAATTTTTGTATTTATCAAATATTGATTAATTAATTAATTAAAATTATGTAATAATTTATTTGAAATTATTACGTAATGTAAATTATTACAACAATTATTATAATTATAATTAATAATATTAATTAGTGTTAAGTATTAGAGATTACTATTAATGACTCACTGATTAGCGATCAATTTTAAAAATTAATCGTTTAAACGACGTTATTTGAGGTATATGAAATGTTATTGACCGATGGGTGTCAAATAAAACGAATCAGTTTTTTTATTCTGAAACTGAGATTTCTTATTTTCTTTTTTAGGCTCTAATACATTTATTTCATAACAAATTCTATATTTATACAAAGAATTAGAACACGAAACGTGAAACATTTTTTTCCCCTGTTTTTTTTACGTGGAAATATCTTGTAAGTACACTTTATCGCTTTCTTTTTGGATTTTCTTCTTAATTTAATAAATCTATCTTTTAACTTGATTAAACAAAAAAATTAAGTAACAAATATTAAAGATAGAAAATCCAAATGCACGAGAGATTGGATAACGCGATAATGTGTTTTTTAAAAAGGAAAAATTCATCAAATTACTTCCTTCCTTTATTCTTCTTGCATCCAGAATTTTCATCGCTTCGAGATTGTATAGAAAAAAAGGAAACTCCTTACAAAAGCTACTACACATTTTTTAAAAAGGAATTTTTCAATTTTATTTATGTTCTAGAATAATAATAATTATTATATAATTAATTTATTTATGAATCTGAATGATTGTTAAGTGCAAAAAATGATGTTTCTCGGGAAGCATTTTTTTTTTATATCTCGAAGGTGAAACTTTCGGATGGATGAAAAATTTCTTCGCGACCGAAGAAATTTTCTTGATTTAAACAAAAGCACTGATGGACAGTGTAACTTTGGTGCCAGCATTTTTTAATGAACTCTCAAGGATTACTGAGCCTTGTGTGTGTCCTTATTCTGATATCCCTGCACATATCCCGAATTATCAGGAATATCCTTTCGACCGGCAATTCCTTTTCCTTTGCCAGTTTCATCAAATCGTTGCTTATGAGATCCTGTGTATTTACTCACGTCTGTCAGTCTATCAACTGTCGATGCAGCTTTGCCAGCCTGAAATTTTATTATTTCTTAAAGACATGTGAAAGAAATACTTCAAAAATGCATGCAGGTAGCATGTATACAGGTAAGTGTGTAATTTATCTATTTAAAACAGTTAATTTAGTATTTCGAACATTTCAATTGCAACAAAATGAAAAAGATTAGTAAATAAATTTTTGAAAAATGATAAGATAAAAAATTACCGACTGATAGTAAAGAAAATTTTTGAAAAAATGATAATATAAAAAATTACCGACACAGAAATCTACTTTACCGACTGATGGTAAAGAAATTTTTTTTGAAAAATGATAATATAAAAAAATTACCGACACAGAAATCTACTTTACCGACTGATGGTAAAACAGTTTTTTGAAAAATAAAAGTATAAAAAATTACCGACATAGGAATCTGCATTACCGACTGATGGTAAAACAGTTTTTTAAAATGAAAATATAAAAAATTACCGACATAGGAATCTACCTTACCGACTGATGGTAAAACAGTTTTTTTTTGAAAAATGAAAATATAAAAAATTACCGACATAGGAATCTACCTTACCGACTGATGGTAAAACAGTTTTTCTGAAAAATGAAAATATAAAAAATTACCGACGTAGGAATCTACCTTACCGATTGATGGTAATTACCGACTGATGGTAAAACAGTTTTGGAAAAGTCAAAAAATTCTGTTTTACCATCAGTCGGTAAGGTAGATTCCTACGTCGGTAATTTTTTATATTTTCATTTTTCAGAAAAACTGTTTTACCATCAGTCGGTAAGGTAGATTCCTATGTCGGTAATTTTTTATATTTTCATTTTTCAAAAAAACTGTTTTACCATCAGTCGGTAAGGTAGATTCCTACGTCGGTAATTTTTTTATATTTTCATTTTTCAAAAAAAACTGTTTTACCATCAGTCGGTAAGGTAGATTTCTGTGTCGGTAATTTTTTATATTATCATTTTTCAAAAAAATTTCTTTACCATCAGTCGGTAAAGTAGATTTCTGTGTCGGTAATTTTTTATATTATCATTTTTCAAAAAAAATTTCTTTACCATCAGTCGGTATGGTAGATATTAATGTCGTTATTTTTTGTCTTTTCATTTTTCAAAAAAATTCTTTACTATCAATCGTTAAGGTAGATTTCTATGTCGTTAATTTTTTGTCTTTTCATTTTTCTATTTTACAGCCATTTAAGGTACATTTATATGTCGGTAATTGTTTTATCATTAATTTCCTGTGTTGCAAATCACTTTTTTATTGTAAGATCATGTGGTTTTTTCCCACATGGCTTTAAATACAAAAAAATTAAAATAATCAAATAATAATATCATATTGTGTAAATCTTTAACTTACCCCACCCACATTAGATATACCGGGCGGTCCACAATTAGCCATTTTATTTTTAATTTCAGCTAATTCAATTTTTTTAGCTTTGGCGAGCTCATCAAGGAAAGATTTATATTGTTCAACATTCAATTTCATTGACCTGATAAAAAAAAAATTCATTTTTTTAATTTCACTGCATTGAAATGGTAATTTTTTATTTTTTCAATAAAATTTGAATTAACTTTGACTATAATTATCAGATTCGTCCACTAACTTATACGTTACCAATTTTACTAACTTTTCATACCCCCTCCGTCTCTTCGTTGATAACTTTTATCATTTTTATATAAATTTTAACATTAGGCGTAGATTTAAGTCAGACCCCCCTTAAATTGGTAACGTACTTTAGGGACTTATTATTAATAAGAGAAAATATAAAAATATATTTACTTTTGTTTCTTGAAATAAATTCCAGTGTCTGTGGTGGTGATTTTTTTGCCATCAATTACTTTTGCCTGTTTCATCCATTTATCACTTTGACTGAGTGTAATGTGTTTGCCATCACTTTTAGTGTCACCAAATTTTGAAAAGGCCTTAAAACTTGAAAGAAATGTACCACTACCTGTGGCTGGACTTCCAGGTGTCGTTGTGTTTTCTTCAATTTTCAAATTGGCTACATTATTTGTCAATGAAGTTGCACTATTTTCCTTTACTCCTGGATCCACTTTTTCACCTTCCATTTTTAATATTCTGTAAACATTTTTTTTTAACTTGGAATATTTTTCAAACTTTTTTCTTTTTACTTTCACAAACAAATAGTTTACAATTTTGTAGCTGATGAATCAAAATATAATCTTGCAAATTCTAAAAGATAACGAAATCTTCAGAAAAGATATTACACAATAACTTAGATTTAAGTGTTTTTTTTTCTTTTGTAATAAAATTTATTTGATAATTAACTGATTAGAGAAAAATTGATTATTCTACAAAATGAATTGAATTTTCTTTCAATAAAAATTATATTTGTACATTAGTTCAAGGTAAGTAAATAAAATTTATTGATATTATAGTAAATTAGTAGGGAATAAAATAATGAAAGAAAAATTTAAAACGTTTTCATATCAGACCCTCTAAAGAAATCTTATTTTAATTTTTGAAGATATTGTAAAGACAGCAGCACAATTGATACTAAACATCGTAGAAAAATATTAAAATCAACTTTGTCTGTACATGAGAAAAATAAAAAATGAGGTAATGTTATTTCATATCTATAAATAGAGATCTTTGTAAATACATGTGTTAACAATCATTAACACTTCTTCATGAGAGGAATTCAAGATAAGTCAAAAGTCACAATTACATTTTTCAGAAAAACAATATTTAAATTAACATTTTTTTAATCCCAATTATTTTTATATTTTATTTTTTTCTAATAATAATAATATAGAAACGAATTAATAAATATTTCGTGCTTCATTTGCCTATTTACATTAATAATACACATTACCGAAGAAATTGGGTTAGTGTATCAGAAAATATTAGTCACCTGCGAAAATCGATCGCTTTATTTCTGAGGTGCGAGAAGAGAGAAAACGCAAAGTTCTCGCAATTAATGAGAGTTCACTCTAATTATTAAATTCCCGCTTATTTCAAAGGGTAACTGAATTTTTTGAAAAGTAATGACAATTTTCACCAAGGGATGCAGTTTAATGACTTTTATAAAGATTCACACTTCCGTCTCTCAAAATAGAGTCACACACGCATGAAACGAAAGGAAAAGCTGGTTAAGGAAAATTTCTGAATGTAGGACGTATACAAGGGGCCAGAAACTGTATGCGGATGCGTATGATTCAGGATGAATCTGAGGGGCCTCAAAGCGCAAGTCTTTTATTGATTTTCACTCCCGAAAGTTCACTCCCCATATCAACTGAATACACCCCTTGCTTTTATTCCTATTCAACAAAAAAAAATCCCAGACTCCTTTTATGCTCGCAAGTTTCGAATTTATTTATTAAAAACCTTGTTAGAGGAGGAAAAAAAAATTTCATCCCCCTTTTTTTTAAATCTGACGATGAATTTATAATTTAAAGGACAAGACGTGTATTTAATATGTCAATCAATAATTTCAATGTTTAAAGTATTTCTAATATTATGAATTGCAACAGGTTGCGTGCGTGTAATTCGATAAAAAAGAATTGTCCTTAAAGTTATTTTACTGTTGCCTGTCACGATGTGCTACTGTATACATATAATTTAACTGACAAGAAAATTATAATATATTGAAAATAAATTTTTTTACGCTTCGTTTATAGATTTTTTTTTAATATTAACACTGTTATTTCAGTTTGCTCTCAATTAAATTTTTTTATTTTGAAATAAATTAATTAAATTGAAAATTAACGTTAATTAAAATTTATGCAAAGCATATATATCTTAATTTGTTGTTCATCAAATATTATACTTTGTCCTTAAAGTTTGTATAAAGTCGTGTAAAATGAAGAATTTTTAATTTTTGGGTCAAAGTCGGTTGGTGTTTGATTGTTTGTTAAAATGAAACCCTGAGTTTATTTTAATATTTTACAACGATTTAACTAACGAGCAGAGCTGTAGGGTTTCAACGTTCATGATTGATTCAACTTTTATATACATTACGTCAAACAGTCTATAACATCGTATTACATTTTATATTTTATTTATGATTTTAAAATACTTCATTTCATTCAATATTATTTTTCATTTAATATCTTAATTTCCGATTCAAAGTTTTAATCGAAAAAAAAATGTCAAATTAAATCGTTATTAAAATAGAAAAATATTTTTGTGAATTTTAATTTCATGTTTTGATTTTCAAAAATTATGTGAAACATTAATGAATAAAAATAATTGAAATAATTTTTTTCTTTTTGAAATGATTTTTTTTTCTTGAAAGTAAAGAAAATAATTGACTCTAATTTCAATTGCGTGTTTCATAAAAAAAAAAGTATTTCGATCAATAGCACAGTTTCCGCTACCTGTTGGTATTTGAACTCGCGAGAAAGCTTTTTCACCCTCTTGATCACTTTTGTGCTTCACTAAAATACCCTCACTCAATAGAAGCTTTTTGAAAATTTTACACTTTAAATTTTGTCAACTTTTCATTTAATTTGAAAAAAAAATCACTTCACAATTAACGACATTTAGCAAAGAAAATAATTTTCCTGTTTAATCGTGCGCAATATTATTTTTTCTTTTTCTTTGTTTTCTTTTTTTTCGTATTCTGTCCGGGAAATTACTATGAACGAGACTGAAACCCTCCGCCTAGTCAACCAACGATTCCAGCACTGCCACCTATTTTCATGTACTTTCCTCTCACCCTCTCATTCCTATAGGCACCCAACCACCACCCACATAAGAAGTATTTAAAATAGATCTATTTAAGATATACATATATATATATATATATATATATTAAAGGAAATTTATCGCAATGTTACAGCTGTTCAGGGCGCAAACACTTTTCGAGATAAGACCAAAAATTTTTTTCTAAAATAATCCCGTGATTTTAATCGGCAATTTTCTTTGACCCACATTTTGATATTTAATATTTTTTCCGAAAAATTGAAATAAAAGAATTATTCTGACTGTAAAAATATATTTATTAAATACAAATATCAAAGTATTTCATCTTTGTTAATGTAAATATAATAATCTGTTAATAAAAATTATTTTTCTAAAAATTTCTGAAAATGTGCAAATAAAAAAATTACTTTCGTTTAATTAAAATTAATTAAATTTCTTTATCTATATAAATTTCATAAACCTATTTTCTCGTATAAAAATATTTTTACGAATAAACTTTTTGTTCAAAACGTAGAATTTGAAAAAAGAATTATTTCATCTTAATATAATATTTTACAAAAATTCCTATACTTTTTTTATCGAACAGAGTTTTTAGCCTCTTTGTAAAGTTGACGTGAAATAATCAGTCTTTGAATTTGTGCAGTTCCCTCGTAAATCTGGTAAATCTTAGCGTCACGCATTAATTTTTCTACAGGATATTCACTGTTAAATCCAGCCCCACCAAATATCTGTGATTAAATATAAATAATTAATCTTAATTTCAAAGAAATAAGAATAATTTTTTTTTTTAAAGTAAAATTTCAAAGAATTATAAAAAAAAAGAAAACAAAGAAAAAGAATAAAAAGTACCGCGAAGAAAATGAATAAAAATTTGTTTCCTACCTGTACAGCATCAGTGGCACATTTGTTCGCAACATCACCTGCATAACATTTTGCAACACTCGCCAAAATTGTTGATCTTGGATCTTTATTGTCACTTGCCCAAGCAGATCTGTGCATTGCAAGTCTCGCTGTTTCAACTCCAATTGACATATCAGCTAACATGAAGGCAACAGCTTGGAAATCAAATATTGCTTGACCAAATGCTTTGCGCTCCATAGCGTATTTTGTCGCCTCGTCGAGTGCACGTTGAGCTAATCCAACTGCTCCAGCCGCTACCTGCGAGCAACAAAAATTTAATTAATGATTTTTATAATTTTTAATCATTTTCTAAAATATTCGATCAAATTATTAATAGTTAATAAAAAAAAAATTCAAAACCTATTAATAAAAAATGAAAAAAAAATATTATAATTGAAAAGAAATAATGAATAAAATAAATAAAATACGAAAGATAATTAAATTAGTAAAAATATTTTTGACTCACTGGAGGTCGAGTCAGATCAAAAGTTCCCATGGCAATTTTGAAACCGGCTCCTTCTCCAATAAGGACATTTTCTTCTGGTACACGAACATCCTCGAACGTAACCATACGTGTGTCCGAAGCCCTTTGACCCATATTCTTTTCCTGTAAAAAAAATAGTTTGTATTTAAAAACAATTTTAAAAGAATTTAAAAAATAAAAAATTACCTTTCGTCCTGGTGTGACACCAGCAAACGCACGTTCTACAATAAATCCTGTGAAGGCTTTTCCAGCTGGTGCTTTTGGATCAGGATTCGTTCTCGCCAGGACAAAATACCTACAATAATTTTTTTTTAATTACCACTGCAATTCTTTCATTTTTTTTATTACGACAATTACCTGATTTAAAAATAATTAAATTATAAATATATCTTAAAAATAAAAAAAATTAAGATAAATAAAAATTTGTTTGAATAAATAAAAAAAATAAAGTACCAGTCTGCTACTCCTCCATTTGTAATCCACATTTTAGTGCCATTTAGAACCCATTCTTTGCCCTTTTTCTCCGCCTTTGTTTTAACACCCGCAACATCTGAACCGGCTCCAGGTTCAGTGACACAATAAGCCTGATTTTAAATAATTTAATTAAATATTTTAAATTAAATCATTAATTTTTTTTTTCCCAAAACAAATAAAAATTAACTCACAGCTACAAGAGGCTCTTCAATCAATCTTCCCAAATATTTTTTCTGTTGCTCCTTATTACCAAAATGAATAACTGGTGTTTGCTGAAAAAAAAAAAATTTTTAATTAAAAATCAAATAATTATGTAATTTAGTTTTGCAATAAAATCGTTTAAATTCTATATAGAAAAAGTAAAATAAATAATTTTTTCTTACCCCAAGGCCAGATCCTTCAATCGCTGTTTGTATTCCTGCACAACCATAGGATAATTCTTCAGCAACAATGCAACCATCAAAAACATTGCTTTCCAACCCACCTGAAAAAAATAATTTTACAAGGAATAAATAATTATTTGTGAAATTTGTTATTATTTAAATACAAAAATAATTATTCTTACCGCAATGTTGAGGAATATGTCCATTCATTAAACCAAGTGACCACGCTTTTTTCACCAAATCCCATGGATATTCACCAGTTTGATCATAATGAGCGGCTTTTGGAATTATCTCTTCTCTGGCAAATTTTCTCGTCAATTCTTGCATTTCACGTTGTGTGTCCGTCAATTCTGTATAAAAAAAATTTATTTCATAATTAACGAAATTCAATTTTTTAAAAATATTCTGTAAAATAAATATTTTCTATCGTATATACAAAAAAATAAAAATAATAAATTCTGTCTGTAAATTTATAAACAAAAAAACCGTTAGAAAAAGAAGAAAATTTCGTAACTTCTTTTATGTGTCTCATATCATATTCATATTATCTTTTTATCATTTTCTGAACAAATGTACTTTGAGCTTATAATTATATTTGTTGTCTCGTCTATTTAAAATTTCTGTACTTTTCCTTTTTTCGATAAACAATTATAAATACAAACTATTTTTATATCAATTTCACAAATCAGATAAATTATACAGAAATATTTTTATAATAAAAAACAAAAAATAATTATCTTTTACGATTAATTAAGAATTTAGAAAAAATAAACAATAATTATAATTTTTTCATGCGAAACAATATTAAAATTAAAAATAAATTTTCAACTCACGAAAGCTAAATCCATTGGAAGAAGAGGCACTTGCTGAGAATAATCTAACAGATCGACGAGCAGATACACTAAATACCTGTAAAAATATTTAATTGTTAAAAATAAACAATGTGAATTATATAAAAAAAATTACTATATATAAATTTTGTTATCAGAAAATTATATAAATAAAAGGACAAATAGACATGAACTTTTTTGGAGTAAATAAAAAAATTATCCCTCGTTAAATGTGTTTATAATCTAATAATCATGACATTGCACATAATACTCAATAAATTATTTCAATTTCTATTTTCATAAACTTTATAAAATTATTCAAAATATAAAAAAATAATTCTATTTACCTTTTGGAGCAACATGTTGAATTAAATTAGAGATAAAGATAAAATAGACAAAACTCAGATAAGAGTCAACTTATTATTACAACAAACAAGTAAATGTCAACTAATTCTGACTGAACAGAATTATAAAATGATTTTTATAAAATCTTGGGGTTAAAGTACAATTCATGTAAAATTAGAAAGGTGGGAGACACGTATACACGTAAAACACTAATGTAACTGTAAATGACAATAATCGATAAAACAGAATAGTTATCAACTCGGTCAATAAAACAGTAATTACAAATTTTAAAAAATATCCGGTGTTTTTAAATTTTCATTATAAATATTGTATTCTAAATTGCAAATTTAAATAAATTTTGTCTTATAATTTCATTTTGAATACAATAAATAATACAGTATGTGCTTATTTTTTCAAAAATTTGAAATTAAACAATTTAAAAAATTAATAAACAATTGATTGGAGAGTTTCAATGGGATTAGAATATTATTGACATCTTTTTTTTTAAAAATAAAAAATATTTAACAATAATAAATCTGCAGGTATGTGAATACACAAAGGTGGGCAATTTAAATTTGGTTGTTATTGCGATAACATGTCATAAAAGTCGGAGTTGTTTGCCCAAAATATTTGCTTGTAGCTTAAAGAGTATGTATATAAGGGATTTTAAATATCTTACACTTATTTAATAATATTTAAAAAAATTAACAATTTGTGATAAAAGTATGGAGAAAAGGACAAATTACTTTCATACAAGATTCTTGATTTCTACACCCGCTCTCTTTTATAGGTTATAAACTTGTCTTTTTTCTATTTCGTATTCTTTTTTTTACTATAAATCTAAACTATTTACTATAAATTTTTAATTTTATTGTTTTTTAATTGAAAATTATTTTTATTCGCAGGATTATAAATTAAATTTATGTAAAAACAAATTTTTTTAAAATCAGTCAAAAAATTTGTCAAATCAGTGGTTAATTAAATGAAAAATGTTTTCTACTATTAAAATTAATTATGTTAGTAGTGATACTTGTTTTACAATTTTAAAATTAAAAAATATTGTAATGAAATATTGAAAATTTTGAGGTTAAGATGAATCTTACGGTTCATCCGCTTTCTGAAAATCCCACTGCAGCTTGGGACGAAATATCACAAAAACAAAAAGTTATTAAAATTAATGCAAAAACTCCAAATACAGAAGCACCGAATGATAAGGTACATGATTTTTTTTTCTATTTTAATTTTTAAAATAGAAATATTTTTAGTTTTAATAAAACGATTATTTTTACAGCTAAGGGTTGTTTGTATGAGTGATACTCATTCACTTACTCCATTTATTAAATTTGATATTCCCGCGGGTGATATTTTTATTCACGCCGGTGATTTTACAAAATGTGGCAGTCTCGATGAAGTTATTGAATTCAATAATTGGATTGGTGGGTTTTTTTTTAATTAAATAATATAATTTAAATTGATTCTTAAAATTTGTTTTTTTTCTGTTCAGGAAATTTGCCTCACAAGCATAAACTAGTGATAGCGGGAAATCATGAATTAAGTTTCGATTCAACGTTCACTCATCCTTTTTCAACTCAAACAAGTGGTGATCGTCATAAACACACGGGAACCAGTATTTTAGACAGTATACCCACATTGGGAATGTCGAAGGATGTTTTAGCTGAAGCTATACAAACACGTAATGTTAAGGAACATTTAACAAATTGTACTTACCTAGAAGATGAGGAAGTCATTATAGATGGAATTAAAATTTATGGATCGCCTTGGTACATATCTTCTATTTTTTTCTTCAATTTTTAAGCTTCTGCATTAATTCTTCTTTTTCTTCTATAATTATTCAACAGGCAACCAGAATTTTGCAAATGGGCATTCAATGTACCTCGTGGTGAACAATGTCTCTCAAAATGGGAAATGATTCCAGTTGACACGGATATTTTAGTAACTCACACACCACCTGTTGGCCACGGTGATCTTTGTTGTAGCGGTGTAAGAGCCGGTTGTGTTGAATTATTAACAACAGTCCAAAATAGAGTTAAACCAAAATACCACGTCTTTGGCCACATCCATGAGGGTAATGAAATCTGAAAAAAATATTTTTATTTAAATATTTAAATAATTGGGATAAAGGCAAAAATAATCTTTAATAATTTTGTCTTGTATAAAAAAAATGAAATATTAAAAAAGCATTTTCCATCTAAGTTCTACAAATTAATTAAAAATAAAAATTGGCAAAAAGAACTAATTAATTTTTTTTTTTCAAATTTAGGATATGGAATATCAACAGATGGAAAGATAATTTATATTAATGCCTCAACATGTGATTTAAATTATTTACCCAGCAATCCGCCGATTGTTTTTGATATAACATTACCATCAGGAACAAAGAAAACGTGAATACTTTCCTAATGGTCTGTTTAGAATGAATTAAAAATTTTTTTACAATTTTAATAATTCCTCGATAATTTATGGTCAAAAAAAAAAAAGAATTGATTTCTTTTTACTTGACCAATTGATAAATTACCCTTTTTAAGAAAAAAAATTCATGACAAGGTAAATTATTAATAAAAAAAATGTGATATTTTCAAAAAGCTTTAAATTATACAAATTTGGCTCGAAATTAAATTTCTTAAAGGGATCAAATTTGTAAATATTTGTACATTGATTTATAATAGTTTAATGATTATATTTATTTATTTAAATAAGCATATAATTTTTTACTCCAGCGAAAAATTAGAATTTTTATTAATTAAAAAAAAAATTCAATTTAAATTTTATGAAATTAATAAATAAAATTGAAAAATGACTAAAATATTATATTATTCAGGGTGGCCACTAAATACTTTAAATAAAAAAAAATATATCTAACCTTAGCGTCCAATTGATGTATCTGCTGGAAACACACACGCGATTTTTAGAATTTTGAACACTCGCGAAATTTAAATTAAAAAATAAAATATTTCTATAAAGTTTTGTAAGTCTTTCTTTTAAAATTACAAAATTTACACTCACGTTGAACGAGTCGAGACAGGTCTATGCAAGATTTGCAAATTATTTAATTATCTTTGGAATTTTATTACCTTTACCTTATGGTACGTTCTTTGTCCTTCTAATCTAAACAAAGGACTCGGGATGCAGGTATGAAGGTAATAAAATCCCAAATCGCTTCAACACTTTTCAAATATTTTGAAATTATAATTTTCAATTTCGAAATAATATTATATTATTTTTTTAAATTATATCTATATATAATTATATATATATATATATATATAAAATATTATTTTGAAATTAAATAATTTAAAAGTATTTTAAAATTAACGAAATGACTATGGGAAATTTTATTACTTTTATACCTGCATCCCAAGCTGTTTGTTTACATTGAAGTACAATGTCAGTGACCACCCTGAATTATTAATTGTATCTGTATTGGCTACTACGAATATTATTAATTATATTTGCAACGCACATTTACTAAATAAATAATTTTAATTAATTTTTTTTTTTAAACAAAGTTTGCGCAAATTTTACTTTTGTTAATTTAATAGAAAATTTTGCTTCTTACTGTTTTACAATAAAATTTTACAACCATGGTGCCCATATATGTAGTTTTTTTAATAAAATATAGTAAATAGGATAAAATTTTTCGCATTTTTAAAACAGAAAAAGTTACGCTTTCAATATTTGTGTAAAACCAAACATTTTCTTTTTTTAAAAAACCAATTGTACCAAAAATGAAATAAATTTAAAAAAATGCTTTCACAATTTTGTAGACAAAAAAAAAGTAAAAATCCTAAATTAAAACAATATAAATGAAAAACAATGTATTGTAAACTATAATAAAATATGGAGACTTTTCAATCAATTAAAAGAGTTATTTTTTTCTAATTATAATACAATATTTTTTATTGAGATTCAAAACTCGTACATACGATTTTGTTTCTTTTTTTTGTCATCAAAAAATAGTGCATAAAATTGATAATAATACATACTTGTTTTGTCGGTAAAAAAAAGCAATGTATAAGAATTTTGTTCGAGGCATAAAAATTCAATAGAAAAAGATTTCCATTGTCTCGGATTTAAAATTATTTACAATTTTTGTTATACAATTTTTTATATTTTTTTTTATTATATATATATATAATCAATTATGCATTGTTAAGATATTTTAATGTACAGTTTTTTTTTCAAGTCTTTGTCTGCATGAACAAGTTAATTGGAAAATTAACACTTAATATATTGTATATGAGTATTTTTGTTTTTCAACTACAGAGCAATTAATAAAACTTAATACCCTAATTTGAAATTGTATACTTACCGTCACTTCTCTTTGAAAGTGGCCCTTTTTTTTAATAACAATTATAACAGTTAATTATAATATATAATAATTGTACTATAATATAATAAAATATTGTAATTGTAATAATAAATTTATAATTAAAAAACTTTTATTCAATGAAATAAAAAAAAAAGTTTGGTTATTATGCAAAAATAATAAGAAAACACTAAATTATTAAAAATGAGTTTCATTGTCTAATTCAAAATCAACAAAGTTAATTTAATGTCAGCTTTCTAATGTTTTAATTATATTATATTATATATATATATATATATCTATATCATTTGAATTACCAGTTTAAATCCTTAAATTAAAATACTAATAACAGTATTTATTTGTACATTCATCCTTCAGATAACGAAAGTGTATATTATAGATAACGAAGTGTATAGAGATTTAAAATCGCAAATTTCTTTTCTTTTTCCCGAACAATTCAAAAAACTATACGGCAAAATATTACCGTTTATAATATTGTAAAATATCGTGTACGATAAAAATTATTTTCTGTATAAATTTTTAATATCAAGTTTGTTATGAAGATAACTATACAATAAATTTTTTCATTTTAAAATGACGAGTATTATTTTCGTATTTTTTTTTTAATCAAAACAAAAATGTAAACAATTTTTGTCTGAGAAAAATATCTAATTAATCAAAAAAAAAATCTGATAAAAAAAATTAATTTCCCTTTTACAAAAAAAAAATTAAGTGTATATATATAAAATCTATCAATTGTTTTACAAAAAAAAAAAAAGAGAAAAATATATATATTTTTTCACAAACCAGTGCGAAAAATAGTAAATATAAAAATTTTGTACAGATTTCAAAAAGGTGGCTTTCAAAAACCATACAATTTTTTGCAGTAAGCTTCCGTTATCCGGACGACGGGAGAACTTTAAAAGTCTCCGATTCTATTTCCGGTGATAGAAAGATGGTGCAATAAAAATCAACTATAGGACAACCCTACGTGTACAATTCGCAAAGAAAAAAAAACAAAAAAAAAAAAAACCTCTTACTATTTGACACGATGATGACACATGAATTAAACAACTCGTTCGAAGAGAAAGAGATTAGCACAAAAAAGAAATTTGCCTTTGGTGATTAGGAGATAACGATAACAAAATTTGCTAGATTTTTTTTTGAGAAACGAAACTGTAAATCCCTTTTTTCCAAACATACAATTTATCGCTGTAATTTTAAGTTCCGTTATTCCCAAAAAAAAAATTTCTAACAAATTGTTGGCAACTAAAAAGGACGCTTATGTTCTTATTTTAATAATAATAATAATAGTTTCATATCAAATGAAACTTTATAAAAAAAGGGAAAAAAAAAAGAATTTAATATGGTACATTCGAGAACAAATACGACACTGATTCGCCGTTGTGCGTCCTCCTTACTGCTTCAGCAAACATCATCGAGACATCGATGCACTAGAAAATATTTTCCGAGATTAATTAACTTTTAAAATTGAATTAAAAAAATATTTTTCAAAATTTACTTTTTTTTTAACATTTAATTTTAATTTAAAACAAAATACAAATTTAATCAAAGAATAATAAAAGATAAAATAAAAATTAAATTAACATTTTTTTAATTCTTTTCTAATTAAAAATTCGGTATTTTCTTTTATGTCATTATTATTTTGTAATCGTCACCTCATCGACAGTCTCAATTTCTAAATAATATTTGCTAAAAATTGGGAGAAAATTATCGAAAAAAAAAAATTCTCAATATGAAAATTCGTTTTAAAAACCAAAAATGTTAATTTTTGCAAATTTCGTTTTAAAAAATTGAAAATTCAATTTTATCGCGTAATAGAACGAATTTGCAAAAAAAAAATAGATGAAAATTAAGGGACAAATTTTTTTAAACTGTAAAGTTTAAAATAGGTAGAAAAAAAATTTGTTAGTCAGTGTTTGCTTCATGTCCTTTTGTCAAAAATCAACAAAACCCCATCCCTCAATAAATTAAAGTAATAAAATTATTTTTTATATTAAATATAACAGAAAATAAGTAAATTTTTTTTTTACTATTTAAATTTAAAAATGGAAATTTCATACCTGGATTTTGGGGCAATCTTTCATGTGAGCATCTTGTGGAATGGTATTAGTGACAACAACAGCTTCAAAACATGCATTGTTGATTCTATTAATGGCAGGACCACTGAATATTCCATGTGTCAAAATGGCATAAACTTTCGTTGCACCAGCTTCCAATAATTTTTCAGCAGCATGACAAATTGTTCCACAAGTATCGGCCATATCGTCAACAAGAATTGCTATTCTATCTTTGACATCACCAACTAAAACCATACTTGCCACCTCATTTGCCTTTTTTCTCTCCTTGTGAATCAAGGCAAATTCAACATTTAGCCTGTCAGCGATAGACGTCACTCTAAAATAAAAAAAAACATCAAATGTTAAAAAAAAATGTAATAAAATGAATACAATAAAAAAAAAAATTTTTCTATTAAGAATATTAATTTTCCAAGAAAGGATAAATATTAATATTTCACTCTATTTTTTTGTTGAAAATAAGACGTAAAATATAATTCTTTTTTTTTCTTTAAGATAAAAAAAATACGTTTACCTCTTAGCTCCGCCAGCGTCAGGTGAAACGATAATGCTGTTTCGCCATTCAACAATATTTTCCTTTATCCATTTAAGAACAGCAGGTTCGGCAAATAAATTATCCACTGGAATGTCAAAGAAGCCTTGAATTTGGCTCGCGTGTAAGTCCATTGTAATGATGTGATCCGCTCCAGCCACCGAGAGCATATTAGCGACAAGTTTGGCAGAAATTGGAGCGCGACTCTGCAAAATAGATTAAACTATCAATATTTCCCTATGAATATTCGACTAAAAAAAATCCTGAAGTCCATTTGCAACTGGGAATTTCCTGCAATTTCAAAAATGTCCGGTTATTTTATTTTTTTTTTTCAAAGTGCCTCTTCTTTTTTCTAACAAAAGGACACACAAAAAAAAGGATCAATAAAAAACACTGTTAGTTATTAGAAATTTACCACTTTCGCTTAATTGCAAAGCAGTTTTTAGGAAAAATTTTGTTTTAAATATTTTTAATTCTAATTAGTCAATTTTTTTTGTCTAGAAAAAAGATTTTTTTAAAAATTTTTCATTTTAGAGGGGACAAAATATAAATACAATGGCCAAAGTGTTTTTGGAAAAAAAAAATGTGAGCAACGTTCGTATTAATAAAAAGAAAAAAAAATTAGGAGAAAATCTCGTTGCAAATGCACCCCAGTTAAGACTCGATGAAAAACTGTGAGTGAAGCTTTTATAATAGAATATATTTTAAGAAAAAAAAAAATTATGCAGAAAAAACAAAACACAGTGCATTCTGGATTGTTAATTACTCATCAAACTATATATATATTGTACAGCAGTAGGATATTATATATATAAAAAAAAATAGCAAAATTGAAAAAAGAGTTAGTTTACTACTTTCTCAAAATGTTAAATCCATTCCGCTAGAGTCGTATAATGAGTGAAAAAATCAATGCAAACATTCCAATTTTTTTCGTTCAAGAAAATCTTTCACTCAAATATTATTTCAGGCATAAAAATTGTAAAAATACTCGAGAAAGTGACGAAAAAATATACAATTGTAAAAATAATTTAAAAATCAATTTTTAATTAAAATTAGCCTTTAATAAAAAGAAATTATAATCATTTCTCATTATACGATTCGCTGCTAGTGAAAAGAAATACAGAAATGCACTGTGTATAACGATTCTAAATATTCCAATTTTTTAGTTGTTTTTTAGCATTCTACGACCTAAAATATTATCTGCAACGATATACAAGAAGCTGATTATAATGTTAAGGCTTTTGTTTGTCAAAAATCGTCAAGAGAAGTGCTATTTTTTGTATTGAGAAATTTTTTTTTAAAAACAGGAAAATTTTGTTTTTCTAATATCCTTTTTTTTTTACTTAAAAGCACCACTACCGACGATTAAGTCTACTTGGAAGATTAGTGCACTTATACAATAGTATAACTCACGTCACATAATAAATTAGTACCCAGCGAACATATAATGTAAACCCAGGCTAAAGTATAAAAATATGTACACATAGTGCTATTATATTAATATTTTGCCCTCTCATACAAATGACAATATGTGTTTGTACAAAAAAAAGAAGATTCCATTCACTCAATAAGGGTACCAAATTTTTTTTTCTGTAATTTTTTTTTTTTTTTTTTTTGAAAAAGAGGTTTTCTATGATATTTTTGTTAGTCCTACGAAGATAATAATTGCGGAACGAATTACGAAGAAAAAAATTAAAGAAATATTATATCTAATGCTCAATTGAAACTTTTATCATTGCAAAACGAGTCACTCGAAAAAATTTTTGATTTTACTCTTCATACTCACTGTCGATAGGTCGGTCACAAATTCCTGAAAATACCCATCTATAGTCAGAATCTTGATCAAATCATGCTTTCTTAGTTTTAACAAATGCTTTCATAATCTGACATTGAATTTTTATAATATTCGTTTCAAATTAAAAATTTCAAATATTTTCAAATATTTAAAATTTTTATTTAAATAATGAAATCGAATAATTGGAGAACGATTTTAATTTAAGGGTGAAAAAAGTATCATTTTCAGAAAAAGGGGGTAAAATTTTAAGAAAAAACTGGTCATTCTTCATAAAAATTACATATATCACCAGAAAAAAAAATCCCAGTATTTCATGCATAATTTTTTCTAAATGTATTTTACTTTTTAAATTGCCTGCAAAAAAAATCCAATAAAAAGAAAAACAATTTCTTCAAAACAAAATCTTTCTCAAGATTGTTTTTCAATAAATCAAAATACCCCCCAGGGCTGTTATCATTTGCAATATGATTTTGCAATAATCTTTGGTCAGGGTTATCTTAATTTGATAACCCTGTAAACAGTCCGATGCCTGGAATTTACATGCAATCCGCCAATAATTACGCTTGCAATATACAACACCTTTTTTTCTTTTCTTAAAAAAAAAGTTAATACAAATTTTATTTCAACCTAACAAAATGCGACAAACCTTTCATTCTTAAAAAAAAAAAAAAAAAAAAAAACATAACCCAATGATGAATTGTGTTTTCTCATTACCGCAATCAAATTAAACCAATTCCAATATTAATATATGATTTAAAACTGCATATTTATAGTTTTCAATACAATCCTTTTGAAAACGAAATGTGTGAAAAAATGAGATCGAGCATTTAATGTTTTTAATGAGTTTTGAAAAAAATCGCAAGTGCCATAATGAAGATTTTAAAAATTTATCCCATTATACGTGGATGCAAAAGCTGCGAGAAAAGATTCTTTTTTTTTTTTTGAAAATTATTTTCTTGTTCTTTAATAAGAGTAGGAAAAAGAGCACCATAAGTTACCCTGAATTTCCACTCGTGAGTTCTCATGACAATACGACTCTTTGATGAATCTGACTTGTCCCCTTCGTCACCTCCCTGTGAAGATATCATACAAATACTTTATTTTTTGCCTAAATCAGCAAAATTTTTTTTTCCATAAAACTATATCTTCTCTTTCTCTCTCTCTCTCGGAATGTCTACAAAACCTCAACTTTGTAAATTATTTTAACAGACAAAAAAGAAAAATTTCGAAATTAAGACTATAGACTTCAATTAATTTACACTATTGTTTAACATAAATAATAATTAGTCATTTAGAAAAAAGAAATTAGTCAATTTTTGTCGCTCTCCTAAAACATTCAATTATTTAATATTTTTTTTTAATAATTACACAAAAAGACAAGTAAACAAAAAAAATTATAGAAAACACACTAAATTATTGCGTAATTCACCAAAGAAACATATATAATTCAAATATATCATCATTGAGTAATCAATAAATTATAAATAGAATTTGGACGTTACTTTCGATCTATCCTATTTGTTTGATACTCAATTTATCATCATTCTATTTAAATCTCAAGAAAAGAAAAAAAATACATCGAAATGTAATCATAATAATGAAAATTAATCAAAAGTAATCATTCGAAAAAAATAAATTCATACAAAAAAATGAAATCGAATTCATCAAAATAATATGATTAAAATACAACAAAATTTGTCAATTATCATATCAATAAGATAATATATGAAAATTTCATTAAACTAATGGAAAATGTGTAAAAACAAATTGCTATTTACAAATGCTTTTAAAAAAAAGAATTTACATTTTTTAAAAAAAACTATTTAAAAAATAGTGCAAATATAAAATTACATTGAAATATAATAATACATTATGAAAACAATAAAAAATAAACTAGCACAAAAGAACATAAAATAGAAAAAAAATAATCTAAGTGAAAAAATGAAACTACGTTTGAGAAAATTTATTATAGTGTAAAAAAAAAAATTGCACACCAAAACTTTCCTATATCCTGGGGAAATTAAATATTTACTCAAGAATCTAGATTGTCGCATATGTGAATTTACTAAATACGAATCATTGATTAATTATTATCATTATTATTTCTAAATTATTGTTTATTTTTTTTTTAATTAAAATTATTAACGGGGAATCTTTACCTTGTCCTTTTTGTCCTGTCTAGCATAAGGAAAACATGGAATGACCGCAGTTACACGAGATGCAGATGCAATTTTACAAGCGTTAATCATTATTAGCAGTTCCATCAGATTGTCATTTACTTCTCCGCTACCGCTCTGCACAATGTAAACATCTTCTCCTCGCACGGATTCTCCGATTTCCACGCTGAAAAACATTAAACAATTATTTTTCATTCATTTTATTATATCCAAATATGAATTATTTTTTAATTTAATTAATTTTACCCCTTAATTCTTATAATTTCTCAATTGTTTAATATTTATTAATTAAACAAATATATTTTATAAAATAAAAGTAATTGCCTAAAAAATAAAATAAATACTATACTCAAATTAAAATACAAAAAAAAAAATTTAAAAAGAAAAACTATTAAATTACTATGTGGAGGTAATAAATTACAAACAAATTATCTTTTCTTTAAAATATTTGAATCCGAATTTCTCACAATGAATAGTATCAGTGATCGATAAGATAAACCAAACAAGATTTCACACAATGTTTAAATAAGTATATTAAAAAGCTAAAACAATAATAAACTATTTTTAAAGTTTATATTTTCCTAACAATTGACAAGAGAAAAATTAATTATTAAAAATTATCAGTTTTGAAAAAAAATTACTTGTTAAAAATATATGTATCGAAAATAAAATATTTGAATAAAAAAAAAAAAAAGAATTTTTCTCCCATCAATATTGTATACTTATATGCTGACCGTGAAATCAAGTTTTAGACACGCACAAATTATCCTTAATTTTAAAAAGCAGTTCCCCTGTGAGAAAAATCTTGCCCAGCATTATCTTCGACACATGACAAGGTCACGAATTTATTAAGCTAACTTTCTATAATTTTGAGTCATTTAATCTAAGACCATATAAAAAAAATTTTTTCAATAAACATTCTTATTTTATTACTCATGAATTAAAAAAAAACTCATTAAAAAACAATTTTAAATGAAAAAAATATTTTAAAAACTTTTTTTATATTGTTTCACTGCTGGAAAATGGAGGTAAAATTTTTCTGGAAATACTGACTATAAAAGATAATTAAGTCTAGAGATAAGAATCGTTTACTTATACAAATATATAATAGTAAAATAAAAAATTGTAAAATAAAAATATAATTACATATTTTTTAAAAATAATTAGTTTTTTTTTTAAAAATGTATTTTTTTCAAAACTATTTTTTTTCCATTTCATTAATTATTCAAGTGTTTATTAAAATTAGTCAATCACTTAATTCATATATTACAAGTGTTCTTAATATTTTTTTTAACATCCTACTTTAAATTGATGCTAGAAAGAAGTCTTCTAATATAATCATTTTAAATTAAGTTTAATGAAAAATAAGTCGATGTAACACTACGTAATACCAGTAATATAAAATATAATAAAACAAATGATTTATGTGGAAAAAAAAAATTCAAATCTATTGCCTTGAGAAAATTAAAAATTCAAATCAATATTTTTGGAGCAGAAAGATCTTGATAACAAAGACACAATAAAAAAAAAAAGAATCAGTCTTGATATGCTTTTTTATAAAAAGATTAAAAAATAATTCTAACCTTAAAATTAAATTAATATCAATTTTAACATAGTTTTTAATTAATAAATATATATATTATATTCCGGCTTCGATTTATTATTTTTTCAAGACGCTACACGTGATTAAATCTCAAGCGTCGGTATAACACAATTCTTTCTAATCATTTGGGAAACTTAACTATATAAATTTGCATGATTATTGATACCACGTGCACAATTCAGATTATTGAATTTTCGATCAAACAAACATTGATGTTAAAATAAAATTTCTGAATTTAGAACGGAAATGTTATTATAATATAAAAGCGACCATTACCATGTTTCGAGGTTGCTGAATTTCTTTGTGACAACTTTGCCGATGTCAATTCCAAGTCTGTCAACAATTCGTTGAGCCAATTCGGGGTGCGATGTTCCGCTGAATACTTTAATATTCGGCATTCTGCTTTGTAACAAGTTTCCACGAGAACTCTCCAAGTTTGCACGTAACAAACTCTTGGCACGCACTGCTTGTGAGACGGGCATCACTGAAAAACGGCAAGCATGATGATGAAAATGCCGCAAGCGCAATTAATCAACCAATCAGAATCTGTAAATTTTGCCGGAAATGACATTTTTCCAAAACTCCGCCTTTTGGACCATGCGCAGATTCTAATTGCGGGAAGACAATCATTTAACTCTTTTTTTTTTTAAACGTATTTCACTTGTAAATCACATTTTTAAAACGAAATATTTATCAGAAATGCATATAGTAACACTTTTTTAAATTAGAAATTCAAATTATAGAATTATTTCGTCAATTTTTATCACATTAAGTCAAAAATTAACATGTTTCACACAATTGTTTATAGAATATAACCTATAATATGCCGGATTTTTACTGAGCGGGAATTTTCAATCAAATAATTGAAATGATTTGCTTTTTTTGAATCAATTGAGTAAAAATATGATAATTTTGAAATTTCTATTCAAATTGAATTGTTATTTGATTTTTTTGTTTGTTTAAAAACAAAAGTCAAAACAATTGTTTACAAAATGTGCCGCTACATCGCGGAAGTTCTTGCGTAAAATACGCAAAGTTACAAACTTTACGTAACTGTCAACTGAAATTTGAAATTAAATCTCAAATTTAAAAATTAATCACTAAATTAATTAGTGAAAACACCTGTTTCTTTATTTCGATTAAATTAAATCAATTTAATCAATGTAATAATAATAATAATCCCATTTGGACATTTTTTTAGACTTTTTTTTAAATTGAGCGCCAAAAAAACTTGTCACTGATTTGAAAGTGTTCGCCGCTTATTGAAAACGGAAAATATTTCACGATTGACAGTTTTGGGAAATAAATTGTAAAATCTACAAAATATTCACTTTTTTAAAGATAATTTTTTCTGAAGAAAGCCTCTTGAAAAAAATCGCCATTTTGTAAACTTCTAATCACGTCATTGAGTGATCATTCTTAACATTTTTATATTTAAACATGTTGTTTTTCTGTGTTTATTTGAAAGAAATTTGCGTAACTTTTACACCACGAGGTTAGAATCGTTAGTATCTAAAGAAAGTGGAGTTAACGTATCCTTTCTCATCGTAATTCAAGGAAATAAATAAAGAATTTTAAAGGGGTTGTGTCGTGTTTTCAACACGCGTGACCACAGACTCAAAAAAATTGGAGCCCATTGCAAAAGGTGAAGTCAACGGATAAATGTCAGTGAGAGCGCTATGACAGTCGATTTTTTTTCATCGATGTGGCGCCGGTCCTGATTGACGTCGAATTAGATCTGCCTGTGCGTGAGGCTGTGTGATTTTTCTTATAAAAAAAGAGGTTACAGCATTCGACAAAACGATAAGTAAACGTTATATTAGTGAGGATTCTCTGTAACTTCCCGCGAGTTCCAAGTTAAAAGTCTGAAAATTTTAGAACACAAGAAAAACTATCTTTGAAAAAAAAAGAAAACAAAAGGGGAAACAAATTATGCTTTACATATTCAAGTCCATGTGAATGATGATGACAGTGTGTTGACCTAACTGATTTTAAAACTATGGCGAACATTGCAGCACAGCGACTCAAACGGGAATTCAAAGAGGTTATAAAGAGCGAAGAAGTAAGAATTATTTATTATAATCTTTGATTTGAAAAAAGTTTTCCTTTTTTATTTCATATTTTTTTAACCTCAAACTGGGTTTTATAATATAGTTACGCAATTACATCAAAAGGAAAATTATTTATCGTCATTTATATATTACTCTTGCAATATTTTTTCAGTAGCTTGATTAAATATATTTATATTTTTAATAAAAATAGACAAAAAGGATATTATTAATTATCTCTTTTGATTTTTTTTAATTAATTTTTTAAAACAGTCAATTTTAACTATTTAGTTAATCATTTTTTCTCTTGAAACACAATCAACTGTCAATTTATTTTCGTTAATATTTGAGAATTTGTAATTTTGTCATTTTGAAATAAGAAAAACAACTAAATCATTGTATATACATATATATGTTTTTTTTTAACTATAACCTATAAATCACATGTGTAAGACAAAGGATTGACGTCTTTTGGATAATTTACAAAATGTTTTGATCATTTATATTAAATGAAATTCATGAATTTTATAATTATATTTCTCAATTTAAGCTGCCAAATTTGTTAAATGACGCATCAATTTTAAAAATAAAGAATGTACCTTGAACATTGTTTTGATAAATAACAAGTGCTTTGTGACGTTTGAATGTCATTGATCTCGGCAATATTTAATATATATATATATTTAAAATAGACTCTAACGCTTAGAAATATAAAATTAATAAATTTTGAATTTACAAAATCATAGTTGTTATGTTTCAATCATAAAATGATATTTTCTTAATCCATAAAAGTTAATTAGTGTGTTTAATTCAGTTAAAAAAACATAACAAAATTATTATAGATTTTTTTTTTAAATTATTGTAACGAATTAAATTGCTTACCATGTGTGTTATCTTCTTGTGAATTAGACTCCATTTTACACTTACAATCTTTCAGGTTATTCATTTATTTTGTTTACTTTGGTTTAAGAAAAACTCTTTCACATATTATTCGCACAAGAAATTTCAAAATAATCTTACAAATATCTCACTCGAATGTTCTGTTATCTAAAACTCTAATGTCAAGGGTTAGGTGGGGTATTATTTACTCATCAAGGTTTTCAATTCTTTCATTGGTAGGAACCAATGAATCTATTATCTTGATATATTGTGAAATATTTTGCTTGCTTGATTGGTAACGTTTATTATTATCAGTTTTGAATATTACAAAATTTTAATTATCACATAGCGACAAAATAATCGCTAAAATAAAGAAATTTAAAAATAAATGACTATTGCCATTTGTATTAATATTCTAATAACTTCAGAGAATTTTGAAATTTTAAATTAATTATTGAGTTAAAAAAATATATCTAATTAATTTTTAATTTTATTTTTCAGGTAGCAAGATGCGCCATTAAAGTAGAATTGGTTAATGATAGTTTTACTGAATTAAAGGGAGAAATTGCTGGACCTCCAGATACACCATACGAGGGAGGAAATTTTGTTCTCGAAATTAAAGTACCTGAGACTTATCCATTTAATCCACCTAAAGTAAGTATTTTTTGATAAATTTTTATATTCTTTATTTACTGAGAAAAAAAAATTTATTATAGGTACGATTTATAACAAAAATATGGCATCCAAATATTTCTTCTGTTACTGGAGCTATTTGTTTGGATATATTAAAGGATCAATGGTATGTTTATTAATTAAATTTATTATAATGAATAGAAAAAATTTTTTTTAGTGATTTTTAATGATAAATATTTTTTTTTTCCTAAATTTTTAGGGCAGCCGCTATGACCCTGCGAACAGTTCTTTTATCATTGCAAGCATTATTATCGTCAGCAGAACCTGATGATCCTCAGGATGCTGTAGTAGCTAAACAATATAAAGAACATCCTGAGATGTTTCGACAAACTGCAAAACATTGGACGTCCGTCTACGCTGGCGGTTTGTTATTTTTCTTTAAATTTAATTCCCTTTTCTATTCAAAAATAATTTTTAATTAACATTTTTTTTTTTTTGTAAATTATTTTGATCGAATAATTAATGTATTTAAATATCAGGTCCAGCCACAATGCCTGAATTAGACGATAAAATAAGGCGATTAACTGATATGGGCATTGAAGAACACGATGCAAGAGTCGCATTATCATCATATAATTGGGATTTGGAAAGAGCCACTGAACAACTTTTTAGTTAGTGGCAACTTGGCAGTTACTCCTGCCTTGTCATTAATTCTGTCATCGAGAGGACTCTTGAGATGTAATTACCAAAAAAAAAAAAAAAAATATTGACATCACATATTAATTCATAGTCAAATTGCATAATTGCAATGACAATATGCGTTATAATTATAATATAAATCGCGTTCAAGTGGTTTTAAAAGATCAATTAATCGAGAGTCTGTCTTTTTTTTTTTTTTTTACTTCATTTGTATCATAGACATGAGGACATAAAAAACCACTATTCATCGAGAATTAAATAAGAGCTTCGATTAAATCGTAAACGGGCATCATTAATGAAAAGAATGCGCATTATGTTCCATTGTTTGCAATCAAAACGCATTTCTTTTTTTTTCTTATTTTCTCGATAAAAAAAAGACGAATAACAAAAAAAAATCGATATTGAAAAGTTTCGAAACAGCTTCGATTCCTCTTTTGGCTAATTCTTTTAATTATTATTCTAATAACAAATTAACGTATCGTGCACAATTGAATCAATTTTTTTAGAATTTTTTTTTTTGTCATGATTTATAAGTCAAATGAACTTTATAGATTAATTTTTCTTTCTTTTTTTTATTGTAACAAAAGTTGTTATACTTTATTTAAAAAAAATTTTTATGATTTTCCCCATTTTTTTTTTCTATACTAGTTTTAATGAAATTGTACAAAATAAATTAATGTCCACATCAAAATTTTTGTTAACATTTATTATTGTCAATTTTAATTTTAGAAAAAAAATAAATTTGCTTCCTTTAATGATTAGGGACACGATAAGAAAAATTTAAATACAATGCTTTTTAATGTTTAGGTATATATTGCCATTGCTGTTGTTTGATATATTTAATATATTTAATGTAAAATTTTTAGAAAAAAGTCGCGATTCAAATAAATGAATTATTATTTTAAAAAAAAATTACTTAATTTTTTTGTTATTTGAATAAATCGTGTTTTTTTAGAGTCAAAGGGTTTTAACATTCCAGACTCAGGAACAAAGTTGCATTTATTACTTTGTCATTAAATTAATATAAATTTTTGTTTAAAGAAGCGATTCGGAAGAAAATTCACATATATTTTTCATTAATGGCAATTATTGAGAAATTGAAAGTAAGTTGATAATAGAAAATTTTTTCTCAAAAAGTGAAAAAGACAAAAAAAATTCACTAATAAGAGAAAAATTGTTCATTATTTTTTTTTCAAGTGAAAAAAATCACTAGTGTGAAAAGTCTTCTGTGTTCGCGTACAATTAGCTTTTTTTTCAAATAATTTATAAGGAGGGCTGTGTCACGAGGTGTGTCTAAATAATATGAATTTCTTATAAAATTCGGAATGGTAATTTAGTGGATAAGCGATTATTGCAAATTTAGGTTTTCATAAATGCTGTTATTGAATGTACATTAAATATTTCAAAAAGAAAATTAATATAACGAATCTCTTTCAGTGTTAGCGTTTTACTTCAGTTTCCAGAATTTTGTTACTACGATATATATATATATTATGTATACCGGATTTTTATTACTAACAAAGTTGAACTTTTTATTGTAAATGGTCACCTGTTGGCCAGAGAAAATAAAAATCGCTTATAATGACGATAATTGATCTGATTTTATGAAAAAGAATTTTTTTTCTCTATATATTAATTTGCTTAGACTTGTATAAAAAGTTATTAATTATAATATAGAAAAATATTTGTTGCAAACATTTTAATAAAATCGATATAATATTAAAAAAAATTAATTTTATTATGTATTAGATAATTAATTTTTTAGTTTAAATTTAATTTTCATTTTTAAATTTTTGCGCTCAATATTTATTAACAGTGTAGTGGCAGGCCTGAAAACGCGGGCTTTCTTTTTCCTCGAAATCTCGAATTGCGAACATAACCTCTAAAGAAACGTGCGTGTAAATAGTGTTTTGACAGGAGATTATTATCATCTATATTTTTAATTATTATTCCCAAATATGACGAACATCAAGGATAAATCGAAAAATCTACCATGGTAAATATATTCCTAATATTAAATAGAATACGAACTTGTATTTTTCGATGTAAATAAAATTGTTTTTCTAGGGTTGAAAAATACCGGCCAGCTCAATTAGATGATCTTATATCTCACGAAGAAATTATAAGAACCAGTGAGTTAATAATTAAACAATAGATTAGGAAATTAATTTTTCTTACCTTTTTGTTCCATTTTGCTTTGTTTTTTTTTTTTAGTAAACAAATTCATTGAAGCAAATCAGTTGCCACATCTTTTGTTATATGGACCACCAGGTACTGGAAAAACAAGTACAATTTTAGCCTGTGCTCGTAAATTATATACACCTGCTCAATTTAATTCAATGGTAAAATATTTTTTATATATTTGCATTTTAATTATTTAAAAATCTTACATTTATTTTCGAATTTATAAGGTCCTTGAATTGAATGCTTCTGATGATAGAGGAATTGGTATCGTGAGGGGACAAATTTTAAGTTTTGCCAGTACCGGAACAATTTATCGATCTGGATATAAACTTATTATCCTCGATGAAGCCGATGCTATGACCAATGATGCTCAAAATGCCCTTCGAAGAAGTACGTATCTGAAATCAAAAAAGAAATAAAAGTTAGAAAAATTGATTTAAAAAATCTTATTTTTTTTTTTTCATATCCATTTTTCAGTTATCGAGAAGTATACAGAAAATGTGCGTTTTTGTATTATTTGCAATTATCTCAGTAAAATAATACCTGCCCTTCAATCGCGTTGCACAAAATTTAGATTTGGTCCATTACAACCTGAACAAATCCTTCCGCGATTGGAATACGTTATTGAGCAAGAAAAGTAAGGAATTGGAAAATTATATAATTATAAAATTATTTTATTAATAGAAATGTAATTTTCATTGGAAAATTTAATTTATTTACAGATTAGACGTGAGTGAGGATGGAAAAATAGCTTTAATTACATTAAGTGGCGGTGATATGAGAAAAGTAATTAACGTACTTCAAAGTACATGGCTTGCATTGGGATCCGTTACAGAGGATAATGTTTATACTTGCGTGGGTCATCCTTTGCCAGTTGATATAAAAAATATTTTAGCTTGGTTACTCAATGAAACATATCAACTTGCCTATTGCAGTATCCTTTTTAATTTGCACATTTTTTTCTATTGAAAAAATTTACTACTTTACAAAATTAAAATATTAAGTTCTATCTTTGATAATTATTCATCGCTAAAAAAAAACCTTAACTCTTTCTCAGAAATTCAAGATCTTAAAACAAGAAAAGGTCTCGCTCTTCAGGATATTCTAACAGAGCTACATGTTTTTGTCAATAAAAGTTCGTATATTTCATCTTCTTTTTATCAATTTTCTAAAAAATTATGTTGCAAAATAATTTATAAAATTTTATTTATCTTTTTCAATTAAATCAAAAATTAAATTTTGCATTTTTAGTTGAATTCCCAGAGCCAATGCTGATCGATCTTGTAATAAAATTGGCAGAAATTGAAAAGAGACTAATTCTAGGATCAAGTGAAGCTGTTCAATTAAATGCTCTCGTTGCTGCTTTTCAACCACTACATGATATTGAAACATAATTTATCAACTTATTTCTAATTTAAATTATAATTACATTCAACAATTTCTATTTTTGTACCTTATTATACAGTAAAAAAAAAAAAACTACAATAGTAAGTTGATTTTAAAAATATATTTGTGGAAAAAACAAATACCAATTGCATTAAATATAAAATTGAAAAAAATTATTACGAAAATCCTTTTTTTCAATTAATTACTTATTTACACGACTTTCATTAATGTGATATTTAGAGAAAAAAAAAGAGTGAAACTAAAAATAGGTTTAAAAAAAATTAATTTCTATTCTGTGGAGCAAATACCGGAATTTTTTTTATAATTCCACTAGTGAATGATTGAGAATAGAATTATCCCAAGAACATGTTAAAAGTTTGTTTTGATGCCAAGCAAGACCACGAACAAAATCTTGATGTCTATCGTCTTCATAAATTGTTACTAGATTTCTATCAATGTCAAACATTTTCACCATATTTCCATCACAGCAGCCGGCCAATTGATTTGGACTGAAACAGAAAGACATTTTTTATTCTCTGTGAATAAAAAAAAAACAAAAAAAATATACTTACATTAGTGGATTAAATTCGAGTTTATAAACCGCTCTGTCGAAAACAACATTAGAACAAATTTCAGTGTTTGGATTACGAATATCGACAATGGTAATACTTTTATCCTCGGCACCAATTGCGACTATATTTTCATCATTTGGTTTCCAAGCAATCGCCGTTAATCCACAATTATTATTTTTGAAAATGCCTTGAAAAAATATTGAAAATTAAAATAAATTACTAATTACATTTTTTTTTATTTCTTTACCGTGAGCTGGCTTTGATTTCCTAGTGTCCCAGATAAGTGTATCAGAATCCTTTGAAGTGGACGCGAAAACAGAATCACTTTTTGGCTGTGCACTCACACAGGTAATTGTATCACAATGGGCAGAATTATAACTGTGCGTAGATTTAAGATCTTCTGTAACGTCCCAAACTTTAATGCTGTAAAAAACAAAAAAAAATTTGTAATTTTTTTTTGAAGCTAAAATTAATATATTTAAGACAATTAATTTTTCTTTACCAACAATCCATTCCTGCTGAAACAGCGCATAGTTTATTGTCAAATACCGACAATGATATTAGACAATCATCATGTTGACAGGAATAACTTAATGATTTAAATGTCTTTAAAGTTGAGCTACTATCATCATTTTTTTCGTCATTCAATTCAACAATTTGAATTGTTCCACTATCTTCTCCAATAATACATTTATTATGTTGTCCAAGATAAGCAGCATCCGCAATTCCACTGTCAGTTCTAATTGCCCCGTATGCTTTATTTCTATCGAAATTTTCCAATTGATTGTAATACCAAAATGTACCATTCCAATTTCTGTCAATCATATTACTCGCGCCAATAATGACGCTTTTATCTGAAAATAATATATAAAAGTAAGGAAAAAGTATATAATTATTTTTGGCTATATAACAAATAAACATAATGTATAAACTAATTATCGTTTATATATAACTATTTTATTTATTTATTAAAATATCTGAAAATAAAATTATTAGTGTCAAAAATTTGTAATTTGTTTATAATTTTATTTTACAAAAAAAAACCGGTAAGAATAACTTAACCTAAAAATATGATGTGTACCTTGAAAAACTTTAATCACTTGTAATTGTTTGTCATGTACCGGTGGTCTATCAGCATCACTTAAATTTCTATATTCCTCAGCATTCATATTAGGAATCACATGATTATACGTTTCGTCCATTGTTTCTTTTAAATAAAAAGAAATATTCTGTTTATTAAAATCCGCGTGAATAAAAAAACAACAAATGGGAAACGGAAGTTACTGCAATGCGCACGCTTGGTAATAAATGCATGTGAAAAAAATCCCTAGATTTTTCATTTCCCCCTTAACGCGGGAAATATTTAAATATTCAAACCTTTAACGTAATTTTTTTTTTTTAAATAACATTTTTTGTTAATTAATAATAAAATCCTATAAATAAAATAAATATTTTATTAGTTCAATCACTTTTTTTTAAACAATGAAACTCATATGTGATATATAAATTATTTAACTATAATAAAATGTTTTATTATTTGTTATTCAAATTAATTGAAAACTTAGAATAAATTTGAATATACAGATAATAAATTGTTACAATAAAAGACATTTAATAAATAAAAATTTTATCTCTTTAGTGATATTTAAATTAAATTTAAATTTTCATTTAAAAGTGATGAATAGTTAATACTGATTTTTCAATCAAAATTAAAAACAAAAATTTTTTTTCATTCACGATGAATAATTGAAAATTTTATTTATTGTATTGTAAATAAAAAAAACCCATTAACTGTTGTTGTTAAAAAATATAAAAAATTATTCTTTTATTTCCAAACGATAAAAAAAACACAATATTATAATTGTTATTGAGATATTGATAAAAAATTATTGAAAATTCTTTAACGTCATTTAACACAATTAGATATTAAAAGTATAATAAACAAAAGTTCTTGAAAGCCAATAAATACCAGAACTGATTTGAAAAAATTTTAAATATTAGTGTTTTTTCATTTATGGTAGCATAAATTTATAATTCAACAAATTTATATTTAAATTGTAAAAAAATATTAAAATAAATTATTAAATTGCAATTTTTTAAATAATTAATATTTTTTTAAATTGAAAAAGATAGAAAAAAATTATATTATTATATAAAAATAAATAAAAGAATAAATTATATAAAATAATTTTCAAAATGTTACTTTCTTTAAAAAGAATTTTTGTTTTTATTTTCTTCTTTGGATTAACAAAAATTGATGCATATGATTTTTGTGAGTTTTTTTGTTTAATTATTTTTAAAAACACAATTTTTTTGAAAAATAATTTCTAAAATTGATATATTTAATTTTTTTTCGCAGTTTGTGATGAATCTTCTAATTCATTTGTGCTGACAGCAATTTTACAAAATTATCGATCAAAAATGATAACTGAAGGATTACCGGAATTTAATTTTCCACCTTTGGAACCACTTTTCATCGATAAAATTAATTATGAAACAAGAAATCAACATATAGGAGTGTAAGTTTTAAATATTTAATATAATTTAAATTTAAAGAAAAAAAATAAAAGAAAAATTTAATTTTAATTAAAATTTCTCCAAACTTTCAGATTTAATTTAGATCTAAAAAATCTGACAGTCAGAGAATTGTCGAAATTCGAAATTCTTGGCGCTTGTGTATTTTATTTTAGTCAGAGAATAATTGTAAATTTTACAGTACCAGTAATTTCTATAAATGGACATTATAATTTATCGGGAGCTTTAGATAATTTTTCACCAGGGAAATCAATTGAATTAAAAGGCGCTGGACCAATAAAATTTGCTCTTAATAATGTAAATTTTGCCGCACATATTGGCATTGGTTTAGGATATTCTGGCTATTTGAAAAATTTTAATATCGATTTTTCAGTAGAATCAGTAAATTCAAATCTTGAAAATTTAATGGGTGAAAATAAACACGTCAGTCATGTTATGAATCAGGTAAGTGTCGTGAAGAATTAAAATTATTACTAATTAATAATGATAAATAATAATTAATTATTAATATTATAATAAATTACATAAATTCAAATATTTAAATATTAATTATAATTATTTATATGCAAAACAGGTCGTAAATGACGTTCTTCCTGACACTCTTCGTCTCTTAAAACCAGAAATGGTACCATCGATAAGGGATTTTCTTTTTGAAAAAATAAAAAATATTCTCAATAATCTTACAGAGAGTAAAATACTTTCAGCTTTTTTAAAAATTGCATTATAATTAAATCTTTTTAATATGTATATATAATATTATTATTTATTGTTACTTTTTTTATTATTAAAATAAATTAAATTAGAAATAATTATTGTACATAAAATTCTAAAAAATTAAACCAATTTTATTAAAATAATTGTTAAATTTCAAAAAAAAAAAGAAAATAATTTGACTTTATATAATATATTTAAGCAATAAATTTGTGCGTATATATTTTTATTGAAGATGATTATTTTTACAACTACCACAGTCATTACCGTTTTGTAAACAGTAACGTTCACATATTTACGTTATCCTTATAAGTCTTGTTTTATAATCCTTAAAAGATTTATTGAGAAAAAAAAAATAAAACAAATTGCTGTTTGCGCATATAGCGGAAGCCATTATATTTTTATAAATCGCAGATTCATATATATAAATAAAGTTATATATGAGTATTTAATTTGCTCAGTGGACTTTTTTTTCAAATGTACAAAAGTCACTTTTTTAAGAATATAAGTTCAAATTTTATAAAAAAAAAAAGTGTTATTACATTGTTCTATTTTTAACTATACAATTCTCTGGTACTTTAATGATTTATTCGAACAAAAAAATTTTTTTTAGTTAACTATAATTAACACAAAATAAAAATTTGTAATTTAATATAATTGTTAAAATAAATGAAATTAAATTAATATTTAGTATAATAAATAGAAATATTTAAATTATTCACAAAATAATAAATAAAAATAAAAAAAAGTTACAAAAGCACCAGAGAAGTGCTTACATATTGAAAGCAATTATTAATATTAAAAGCATAGTTTTCGAAGATGACAATAATTTTTAAAAGCAGCCACTAAAATTACTATAAAGAATTCAATTTATTTTTTTAATAATAATTATTATAAAATGATGCGCAGATTATTGAGCATTGTTCAATATCTATATACTAAAATATTTTTATTTTTTTTGTACTAATAACTGTTTAATTATATTACTAAATTTTTTTTTGGCCAACATTATGTAGCTATATCTATATTTTTTTGGCTCATGTGAATACTTTATGTTTTCATTAGGTCCGTATTTCAAATGAAATTCATTAAAAATCAACGAAAACTATTTTTTTTGTTTCAAACTTTTTCATTAAAAAAAATAAAATCTGTTTTTTGCTTTGTTTCTCTGAAAGGGATTATTATATATAAAATACTATTTTATGAATATAATAATTAGTTAATAATTACTATTCATATACACATTATAGTTATTTCTAATTAGCGATTATAATAAATAATTTTATTGATCTAATTAATAATTCATATCAATAACTATTTAATTATAATTATTATCAATATAACAAATATCAAATAATAAATTTGATAATTATAAAATTATAAAAATTAATTAAAATATTAAATAAAATTATTTATTAAATAATAACATTAAATAATTCTCATTGATTAATAAAAATAATAATAATTAGTTAATTAATTGTTATACAATTAACAATTAATAATATAATTAATTGTGGAATGATATTAAAATTTTGTTGACCTTAAATAAAATTTTTTTTTCGGTGTCCTAAATAAAGAAGAAGCACGTGTAAGAATGATTTATGACTGTTACAGAAGCGATTGTATAATATCATAAATTTACATATAATTATTGCTTGGAAATCACTCGAATAATTTTAATACAATAGGGACGATATAAATATTAAATTTGTCCAATTTGATTTAATTGAGACTAACATATATATTTATATAACACACGCTCTGTAACATTGGTATAATATACCCTTAACATTACAATCTTTTTTTTTTTATAACAATCAATTACCTATATTAATACATTTTTTTTCATTTATATATTCTACATCCATTAATCTATTTTTATATTTACGTATACACATTAAAAAATAATGCGATATAACAATTGTTCAAAAATTGCAATGTTTTTATTATTAAAATAAAATTTTATTGATATTGCATTAAATTTGCAATAACTTGAGAAAACCGGACGTTATCGTTGATACTCTCTATATTTATGTAGGAAACTTGTGATTATTGTTTTGTTGTATTTTTTTTTATTTATTATTTGATGCATATTTTTTTTTTACTTTATTTAATTTAGGCTTTCAGTGTAATTAAATAGGCATAGAATATCTAATTAAAAAAATAAATTTAATATTATTAATAATAAAAAATAAATAACATTTTTTCAACACGAAATATTGGATTTTTTAGAATATTCCAATACTTCGCCCTTTTAGAGTATATAATAAATAATACTGTTAATAAAAATATTAGAAATATTGATCATTAATATTTTTTTACTTTTATTATATGTAAAGATAAGAATTCCTAGATTTAAATTTAATTTTTTTAATTGTTCAACAAAAAAAATTGTTTAAATTTTTCTAGTCTTTACTTTTATGGATCATTTTCAAAATCTTCGACTTTTAATTTTCTAAAATCTTCAGATTCTTTTGTTTTAAGAATCCTTATGTTTTTTTATAATTTTCGGATTTTTAAAAATTTTCCTTTTAAAATATTTGTAGATCTTTCAATCTTTGTTAAAATATTTAGTTCTTTAGATTTTTTTTTCTAAATTAGTTCTTTATTAAAAAATTTTTAACTCTATTTTTCAAAAAAGTTTAGCTCTTTAGACCTTTTTTAATATTTTTTTTTTTTAGATGAAAGAATCATTTTTCAAATCTTCAGAAACTAGTTTATTTTTTCTCTAAAAAATTGTTATTAAATTTTGAATAAAAGATATTAAAATTTTTCATCTATTCACTAATTAGTAGAGTTTAGACAAAAAAAAAAAAAAAATTTTTTTACTTTCTAGGAAGCACAACTTTTTTTTTTTTCTTCAATTTTTCACTTATATCTTTGGGCGGATTTTGTTTTCGTTTAAATATAATATTATGGCTAAAAATACTAGCAACATTATTTTTTTTTTGTTTTAAATAAATATATAAATATATATGTAAATTTACCTACAAAAAGAATCACTTTGAATATTATTTGTTGATTGAAGTATCTGATAGGGTGGCAAGGTTTCTTTAAAATGTGATTTCGTCAATAATCCTAATCCAAGAAGAACAACAGGAAGACCAATGAGAGCACAAATTAATTCACCCGTGACACCCGGCGACAATGTAATCCATCCTGAAAATAAATATTTAATTAAATTAATATGCAATTTAAAAAAAAAATTTTTTTTTTTTTCAAAATAAAATTGAATACCTCCATTTATACCAACATCCATTTTATAGATGCTCCACCAAATACCTGACAATGGCAACGAAACAGTAGTGGCAGCAACACTAAAAACGGCACTTTCGCACATGGAGAGAAAATTTACAATTGAAATAGCAAACATCACATAAGCACAGAGAAATGTCCAAGCATGTCCTGATACATTGGTACAAGAGCTGCTTCCCTTGACGTGACACATTAAACCATATTTGATTGTACGATACAAATCTGCCGGGAGAAGTCCCTGAAATAATACCAAAAAGAGAAATATTAAAAAAGAAAAATTAATTTTAAAAATTTAATTCAAATAATCGTTTATTTTATTATTAAATAATTTATTACTTGAGCCGAATTTTTTTTTTTTTTAAATAAACTGTATTAATAATTTTTCTAATAAATTGACTCAAATAAATAATTATTTGAATAATTTTTTTAAAATGAATTTTTAAATTGGAACACCTTGTGATAATTTCTAAAAACATTACTTTTTAAAAATGGTACTTTCTAATAATGATAATTTTTTAATTACCAATAAAATGGTTGTTTCTAATAATTAATAAAAATAAAAAATCTCATAGAATGAAAGTAATTAAAAAACTATCAATAAAAAAAAAATTAAAAAAATTGGTATCAACTATATTTAATGAATCAACCATTTTGTCGATAGTTTTACCATTATTTGAAACTACCATTATTCAACATTGACACTATGTAAGAAACTGCCATTAGTTGTAATTTACCATCAATTGATGAGAATAATTTTAATTTCCAAAAAATAATGGAATTTTTTTATTATAATATCAATAAATGTGAATTACAACCAGTAGTAGTTTCAAACCATCATCGTAACTTACTCTTCCAATCCCGGGCAAAGTATCGATCCAGGTGAAGAGCAAAATCACGATAAATGTGACAATGTGTATATATAAAAGTGTTTCTAAAATCGGTGGTTTTGGAAAGGTTTTTGGTTTTATTGTTGGATCTGGATCGGTGACATGTAATAATCGGCCACCATCCTCAACATTAGTTCTTCGTCTAACATCACGCGATGAAACTAAACGTGATACAGTTTGTAAAAAATTACTGTGATTTGTTGGTAACAAAGGTCCAGTATTCTGTAAACATATTTATCAAATTTTAATAAAAATAAAAAATAAATAAATCAAAATAAAATCAAAATTTTATATCAAAATTTAATAAAATAAAAAATTTGTAAATTTTACCCCAGTGGTAAAGAGACGTTCAAGAATAGTGAAAAACATTGTAAATGCAGCAAGTGCAAGTACATAAACAAATGTCCAAACAGCTCTTATTCCCCATGATCCTCTCATAGACATTGTATGACCAGAAATTTCCCTTCCTCGACAACGAAACTCATCACAAAGTCCATAATCAACACTTATAAAAAGTCCCACAATTATTGTTGTACTCGAGAATATACGTTGTAGACTCATCACTGAAAAATAAAAATAATAATAAATATTAATGAAAAATGACATTTTTTTTTTTTTATGAATAGAATTAAAAAAAAATAATTAACTTACTTTTGTGACAGAAGAAAAAATAATAAATGAGTGAAAAAACAAGGACAATGCCTTTTATTGGATCTTGCAAATGACAAAGGACTCTGTTTTGGTCCAAGGATAGACCGATGAGAATACCTGAAGTCGCATACAGCAAACTGATTTTCAAAATAACATTACGTGGTATTGAAATTCTAGTGCTGCTTGGAATTGGAATTGGCGATGGTGAAATTTTTTCTTTAACGAAATAAACAATGGCCAGAATACAAACTGAACCAAATGCAGTAAACAGTAGTGCTGGAAAATAAAAAATAAATTTTTAAAAGAAAAAAAAATTTAAATACTAAAAAAAACAACAAAAAATGCTAATATTTAAAATTATTCAATTATGTCGAAAATTGTTTAAAGATTTTTTTTTTAATAATTAAATATGAGAAAAAAAAATGTTACAACTTTCGACCTTGAATATTTCACTGAACTAAACTTTCACTAGTGCCGCCCCTTCAAAACTTTCAAGAATGTTAAATGCAACTTAACTAAAATAGTGTTTAAATAACAGCACGTAAGTTTTATATCTTGCATAAGATTCATTTCAGATTGAGATAAAAAAAAATGCGATGCAAAAATTCTTTACTTTACAATGTATAGAGTATACAAAAAAAATTTTTTTGCTCATAATTTAGTATTTAATTTTATTATTAAATAATTAAAAAATTAGGTATTTATCGAATTTATTATTTATTTAATTTCTTTAGCTCAAATAGAATTTTTTTTTTGTTTAGAATATTTCTTAAATATTTACAATTTTCTCATGATAATTTTTTATTTTTTAAATAATTCCTAAATTGCAAGGAAATATTCCAAAGAAAAAAATTTTTTTTTTTAAACAAAATTCGTTTATAAAAAAAATTTCCTACAACATAGAAAATAAATGTAAAAAAAATTTTTAAATATACAAATTGATGAATAAAAAATTAATTTATTTAGAATGAAAAAAAAACGAATTAAATTTTTAATTGAATAAATTACCTGAATATCCATTGGAGACAGCGCTGACACTTTCCAGATAAAGGGGAAAACTAATTACAAGAATACTAACGGATACAATAACCGTGCATAGTGTAAAAATAAAACTGAATTTTTTCCAATTTGGACTGTCCGTGTCAAAGGGTTTTTCTAATGATTGATAACCAACAAAGGGTGGTTCTTCAGTGTCAGAATATTCTTCAATTTCAATGTCACTTCCAGTGCAACGTAATTCTTCCTGTTCATCATCCTCCATAATTTTTTTTAATCGAATTTTCAATCTAACGATTTATTTTTTTCTGTAAAATGAAAAAAAATATAAATAACAAAAACAACAATAATAATAATAATAATATTATTAATAATAATAATATTATTAATAATAATAATAATAATAATATTATAATAATTATAAAAATATTAATAAAAATCGAAAAATAGAAATATAAAAATTGCAAAAATAAAACAGTAATAATTACTGTAATAATAAAATTATAATTTCAATTTTTTGTACATTTATCACAGAAAAATGAATATTAAACAATATAATTAAAAACTTACCCCTTTTTTTTTATTAAAGAGATAATCTCAAAAACTTAACCTGCCACCGCCCAAAGAGAATGAAAAATCACAGTTTTTGCTTTCTAATTTGCAAATAGGAAAATACATTTGTATTATAATTTATTGGTAATTAAACATTCCTTTCGTGAAATTCTACTTCTTATATTGAGTAATATTTTTCGTTATTATAGAAAAAAATAAAAATAAATAACACTTCGTTTTCTCCCTCGCTTCTGTTTAATGTGCGTCGATGCAGAATTTTTATGCTTCAAAGTTACGCTTGCGCGTCTCTATTTTTGTTATTATTCAATTCGTATATATGTATATATATTACTATTACGTCTGCATTATGCACCAATTTTCTATTAAAATTTAATTTTCTCTATATTTTCTTCATTAATTAAAAATTGTATATATATAATAATTTTCCCTATTGTAAACTCTATCAAGTAACGATGAAAAAAAAATATTTCCATTGTCTTATCACAAATAATATTTTATCGCAAATTTTTTTTTTTAATAATCACAAAATGATTGAAATTATTTATAAAATCGCGGTGTAATGAGTGAAATATAAAGGTGAATTTTATTTTAATTAGTGGAATAAATTAAATGTTTTGAATTAAATTATAAATATATTTAATTCATTAAAAAAATTTAATATTATAAATTAAATTATTTTTTTATTTATAATTATGTAATTTTTTGTCTAGATTTTGAAAATAAGTTTTAATTTAATTTTTGACATTAAATTATTTTTTACTATTATTGTAGAAATAAATAAATAATTATTATTAAATTTAAAAAAAAATTTAGTGTGAAATTTTGATAATTGCGAATAAAATATTTTAAATCTTTTTCTGTTTAGACTTTGTTAGGGAGAAAATTTGCATATGTTACAATTATTGATAACACCTTCTTCGAGTTCAAAAGGTTCTCGCATTTTAGATAAACTTTCTGAAATGAGACTCGCATATACATTATATATATATATATATATATAAATATTAATTATTAGAATAATAATCATTTTATGTGGAAGGATTTTTTTTTATCCAGATTCAACGTCACATTTTGACCATGACCAAATGATCACTGTGCGGTCTATAATTTTTGTTTTTTTATTCATTATGACTAAACTTAAATATGATAATTATGCATAATTTATTAATAATAATCTCACCTACGTGATTCAAAACTACATTTTTAATATATGTAAATTCCAATTATATGATGATTTATTAAAGTATATTTTTTCAAATTATTTAATATTTTCCTTTTTTTCCTGATCATAATTTTATAATTAAATTTTATATTAATTAGATTAATATAAATCCAAATTTATAAATTAATTAAATAGAGTCCAATTAATTAATTTTGATTCTCAACTTTTTACTCCTCAAGTGCCAACATCAAGTTGGACTTCTAATTAAAAAACACCGAGTGTAATTTAAAAATTTACTTAAATAAGAGAAAGAATTCATGAAATGAAATTAAAAAAAAAAAATAAATAAAGTTCTCAAAAATTATTTCTTTTAAATTTCAAAGAGAAATAGTTAAGAAATATTAATTTATTCCTATTTAAATATAAATATAATTGAAATAAAAATATCAACCTCGAAAATAATAAAAAAAAAAAAAAAAACAAATGTTGACAGATATTCATTGATATTTCAATGAAATATTTATTAATAAAATGCAAATAAATTAAAGAATAAGAATAGAGCAATAAATTGTGTTCTTTTTTTTTAAATCAATAAAATTAAACTATTACACTGAAAAAAAATTATTTAATTCAAATAATTGGTTTACTTGGACTATTATAAAATAAATATTTAATTGAAACAAATAATTTTTATTTTTATTAAATAATTTTTTTTTTGGGACCAATAATAATTTCTGTATATTTAATAATAATTTTCTGTATATAATCTCAAACAATAATTATTTGATACAAATAAATATTTATTTGATAATAGTCAAGTAATCGATTATATTTGAATCAAATAAATTTTTTTTTCAGTATGAATAAAAGCGCAATTTTCTTAATTGGAGTTAATCGATCACGCGTGATTCAATTCGTTAATCAATCTCGATTTACAATAATTCGCACAGTTCACGCCTATAATTGAATCAAAAGAAAATCAATTGGAATTGTATTATTTTTTCGACCGTGCAAATTTATTTCAATACTAATTATTTTATTTATAATAATAATAATAATAATAATAATAATAATAATAATAATAATAATAATAATAATTGTTAATATTAATTATAATAATTGTTATAATTGTTATAATTAATTATAATATGATTATTAATTGTAATAATAATTTATTACTTATTTAAAAATAATTTTTAAAAGTTAATTAAAAAAAAATTTATCAATCTAATTTTTTCCCTAAAAAAATATTTTTTTTTTTTTTGCATCAGGACAACATATTTATTACCTTTTGCATGTCACACACAATATACATGTGTTTGCCTGTTTGAAACATGTACATTGCCATTTCATAATAGCTAAACGAACTCATACATACTCATATTGCAGTGAGGCACATTGCCGTGTTTTTCAGCTTGTCTGTCAGTCTGCCAGTATGCCTTCCTGATTACTTGAGTGCGGATCGGTTCTCTTTTCTCTCTTTCTGCGATTTTTTTTATAAAAAATAATTTTTCTACTGAAAGTGTATAAAAAAAAAAATTTTTTTTTTTTAAATTAAACATTAAAAAAAAAATTATTATAAAAATTAAAAAAGAAAAAAAAAATGTTACTCTCAAGAATGACACGAAAATTTTTGTCAATTTTTGTTCTTGGCATATGCAATATTGTCATTGTCAAATCAGTTAATCCTGCAACAACAATTATTGGTGGAATAACAAATGTTGCTACAAGTGCGACAAATTTCCGTAAGTTTTCATTTTAATATATATATATACACACACGTTCTTATGATACTTTCTCTCTCTCAATGGTTTTACAATTGCACGACGAATTATGTACTGCAAAAGTAAATGTGAGGCATTTATATATTATAGTGAAAATATTTTACCTATGAAAGGAAAATTGTCGTTCACGTTATAAAAAAAAAAAAAAAATCAACAAAGAATTAGAATTGACGATTTTCTCATTTTAAGAAAATTTTCCGATTGGGGTTTTCCCTAATTTTTTCTTTAATTTTTTTTTTATTATTAAATTACTGGTAGCAAAGGATAAAGTTCAATTTTTATCAAATTTTTTTTTTCAATTTGATTTAAATTTTTTTTATTCTATTTAGACTTACATTTACTTTATATAGTGATTTAAATTTTTTTTTTATTTATCGATAGTAAATAATTAGTACAAAAGCTTGCGCTTATTTTCTGCTATAATCTATTTTGTGTGATTATTGTAATTCTATATAGAAATTTCTTTTGTGAATCTAATAATTTATTCGTTAATTTCTTTTTTATTTGAAAACAATTTTTTTTTATACAAAAATTAAAAATTTTTGCCATTAAAGTATTTACAATTTTCTATACTTTTTGAAAAATCTTGCAAAAAATTTTTTTATTTAAATAAAACTATTATTCTTTTAGATTATTTCATTTTATTTGCTACTTATAAATTAAAATTATAATTGTTATTACCTATTTAAAAATTTTTTTTATTCAAATAAATTTGAATTAAAAAATTACGAAAATTTTTTTCACGATTAATTATTTAAAAAAGTAATGAAAATTATAATAATAAAAATTTAATGCGAATGTAAAATTCGAAAATACAAAAAATTGCATTTTTATATTTTGATTAGGAAAAAATATTTCCAGTATACTAAAGGAAAAAAAAAAAATAAAAATGTTATTCTTATGCAACAAACTAAACAATAAATAAGTCGTCCTTAATTCAAATAATCTGAGTGGATTTCCGCATTCAAACAAGCTTTGTGCGGTTTAGTTAAACCGCCTTTTATGCAATTCATCAAAAATCGTATACATTCTTTGTTTTTACTCTCATTCACTGATTTCTCAATTTTGTTTTCTTGTAGAGGTATCATTATTTGTTTTTTTTTTTTTTTATTTATTATCCGCTTATTATTTTTTGTACAATGCTTATTCAATTTTTACCTTGATAATAATTTTCTATTTTTCTTTTTTTTTAATATACTTTTGATTATTTAAATAAATTTTATTTAATACAATGAAACAATTATAATTATCCCATAATTTAATATTTTTTCATTAAAAATTTTGCGTTTTTTACTTAAAGTGACAAAAGGAAATAACGTCTAAATAATAAAATTATTGTTTCCTGAATCGTATAATTTTCTAATTTGAAATTCTCACCGGTTGATTTATAAAAAGAGCATGCACAATTTCTTAATAAGAGAATTTAAAAACATCGCACGAATCGCTAAAGTAATGGAAATAACTTAAGGCTTTAAGAAAAAAGAAAAAAAAAATCTGTGTGTCTCTTAAAAATTATTCAAATTTCGTAAAAAAAAAAAAAGTGTCTATAATATACTGTGAAACATTTTAAATGTTCCATCATTGTACAAAAAGTTTTATATTTTCCAGTATACAAAGAAGGATCAGATATAATGAGATTCTGTAAGTTCTACCGTTTCATTTTTTTTCACTAGATATATATGAATATCAACAATTTCATTTCAAAATTACATGCACAAAAAAAAAAAAAATTTTCCAAATTTTCCACTGTTACGTAAATAACTGTAACAGTTACATTGTTGCATAACCTGGAATATAATTCAGAATGCAATTAAATTTTTTAATTAAAAAAAAAAAATCTTGATAAAAGAAAACCAATGAAAAATTAACACGCGATTTTATTTTTTTTATTTATTTTCTCTTTGAAAATTAAAATTCATACAACCGGTTTCAATTAGTTCCAATAAGTATTTTTTGTAACAAATTCCAGGGATATAAAAAAAAAAATTCCCAAATTGAAAAACAAATATCAATTTTTTTCCGAATTTTTATTATTAATATCGAGAGCTGTTAATAAAACAAGCGAGTTATAAAAACCACAGAAAGAAAGTTTATGAACCATAAAAAAATTATATAGCGTAAAAATTTGTTATGACAATTTCCGTGTTGTAAATATTTAAAAAAAAAAAAAAAATTAAATTTTTTTTTCAAAATTATTACATATTCATTTTTAGTGGAACGGGCAGTCGATAAACCGAAGAGTATCATTTTAAATGCAACAAGAGTGACTACTGACTTAAGTAAGTCTCTATAACAAATTTTTTTTGAATAATTATCATTAATTTTCATCGAAAAAAAATTTTTCAAACTAATTTTAAAAAGATCAGTCGACAGTGCCGCGTCAAAAGGATTTGAATTCAAATTGAGGAGATTTCTGGAAAAATTTCGCTCAAGAATGCCCCATGGAATACCTGATCTTGGAATTCCCCCACTGGAACCACTTACAATTGAGGAGGCGGTTTTTGTAACGAGAAATCCGGAAATAGGAAAGTACGTTTCTTTTTTTGTTATTTTCTAACATAGAGGCAATTTTATATTAATTTACATTTTTAATAATTTTTTCAATATTATAATTAAAATTAATAATTCGTTATTAATAAGCAATAAATTAATTCTTTAATTAATTAATTATTATTATTTTTAATTCAATTTCATTGAAAACAATATCCAAAAGAAGATAAATGAAAGCAATTGTTTTGTATAATAATTATTGAGAAAGTTAACTATGAAATATGATTTTGCTAATTCGCAACGATCTAACGAGAATCACAAAAATATTATTAATATTTCCTAATAATTATAATACGATTAATCATTTGTCTGTAATTTTTTTTTTTTTATTTTGAACGGAAATCCTGTTTTTTATCCTAATAAAATTGTTTAATAATAATTGAGATTACTAAATATATAAATACAGGAAGAAATTATAATTTTATCCCATAAAAAGATTCCTTATTGTTTTCACTGACAATATTAAAGTACTTGAAAAAATTAGGCGGAAATTTTTTTTTCACTTTCGAGTCAATTTCAAGGTATAAAAATTGTTTTTCTTCCTTTGTAATTAATTATTTAAATAATTAAATTCAATAAATAAATAAATTAATTTAATTAAATTAATAAATTAATTATATAAATAATAATTCGTTTATATTTATTAATTAATAGCTTTAATTAATTTTTATCTAAACTTTAATTACAAAATTAATTGTCATTGTGCTATCATTAATTTTGTTATTCCTTTTGAAATTACGTTAAGCCCCTTTTTTTTACTAGATTACGTCATTAAAAAATTCATCAAAATTATTTTACTTTTTCTATCTATTTGCTTAGAGCAAATTGATTCATCGTAAGAATAAAAAAAATATCAAAACAAGTAGATTAAACATCATGAGTGATCTTTGAATATGAATAATTCGTTAACATTTTTTTAAAACTATTATCATTGAGATTTTTATTTTCAAAAAGCATTTAAAAAAAAATTATCAGAAAAAAAAGAATGTAATTTTTTTTATTGGAAATCAATTTTTTTTCTAACACTTTTTAGAGTGAAATTAGAATTGAAGGACGTGGAAATTGATCATCTATCAACATTTATTGTTGATCGGGCAAGACTATCATTGAGTGGACCAACAATTGCTGTTAATATAACAGTACCAACAATTTACGCTCATGGTGATTACAAATTATCAGGAATATTGGGAGATATGTTCCCTCTAAAGGGTTCTGGACCATTTCAAGTTGTAATTTATGGATTTAAAGCCTATGTACATACTGTTCTTGGCTATTCAAGAGGAATGTATATGAAAAGTTTTGAACTCGATTTTTCACTCGAGGCGGTTGATCTTGCACTTGAAAATTTAATGGGAGATGAAAAAGTCAGTAAAGTCATGAACGAGGTATTAATTTTTTTTTCCTAATTATAATTAATTATTTTTTAATAATTATTGTAAATAATTCGAAATTAATTTTTGTCCAAAGGTTATAAGAGAAATTGCACCAGAAGCCGTTGAACTAATAAAGCCCGAGATTTTGCCAAAAATTCAGGACTTCATTGCAGCACGGGCAAACGATACAATTTATCATTTAACATTAAAAGAGGTATTAAATGTTCTTATAGGCGAAACTGAAGTTAGAGATTTTATAGTTCTTCCATAAAATGTTTCTAGTTTTTCTTTTAATTACCAAAAAAAAATTGATATATTTATATTAAAAACATTGGACACCCAGCTACGATTTAAAAAAAAATAGAAATCAATTTCAGTTGTTAGTGACATGCCAAAGTGATTTTTACAATTTGTCTTTTTTTAGCTCGAGTATTGAAGCACATTTAGATATCAAGTGCCATTTTTATTATGTTTAGTGTAAGATATACTATTATTTTACAGTAATTTTTACAATAATAATAATATTCTAAATAATTAACAAACTGTACAGTTCAGTATCAATAGTATTTTAGTATAGTGATACTTTTATAAAAAAAAAAACCATTGACAATAAATTATGAAATTTTGTTTTACATTTGATGTCATTTTTTTCTACTTTATTTAAAAAAAAAAATTGTATCAACCCCATTAAAAAAAAATATTTTCAACAAAGGTAGGACACATTTAATTATTTTTGGAATATTTTAAAGAATATTTTTATACCTCATTTCAATTGATCGATTTTTATAATTTTCCAAAGCAAAACTGCTGATACAAATTAATGTCAGAAAAAAACTATAATCAATATTTTTTTTATATCTTAACCGTTCTAGGAAAGTTTATCTTTCATTTAAAAGGAAAAAAAAAGTAAAACATGATTTTTTCTTTATGTCTACAAATCGTTGCTTTTTTTAGACAGAGAATTCAAATTTAATTAAAAATAACTAAAATTGAATTAAAAAAAAAAATGTTTAAATTGAATGGATCTAAAAAATGAGATTCTGTATTTTTTTGCATTGTATAATTTTTCTATTTGGAGAGCAGTCTTGGAATTTTGTACAAAAAACGTACAATAAGCAATTTTTTTTTTTATCATTGGTATGTTGATTCTTTTGTGATGACATTTAGTTAACATTATAACAGTCAAAAACCAAACAATGTTAAATATTTTATTTAATTAAATTCGTTATTCAGAGTTACGGTACAATTTGAGAAACTTCTAAGTCTTTCGCTTCGCTATTACGCACGATTTTTTTTTTATTTTTTACTAAATTCTATATATATTTATATGTATATATATATAGATATAAATCATTCTTGTCGTGCACATTTATATCAGTTTTAATACGCGTTGTTGCCAAATAGCTCATCGCAAACTCATGTTGCTCAACACTTCTCTCGCTAGACGCATTTTTTTTTTTTTTATTATTATTTTTTGTTTTTTTGTTTTTTAATCGATATTATAGCAATACTTGATAATTAGCTGAATTTGCAATTTCCCAGAAGGTATAACCACACACAAGATTCCAATAAATTTTATCGCAACTTGCACAATTATTAATAAGATCACTCGTTATTAATTTTTTTCTCTTTTTTTTTTTTTTTACTATTTCAGTCGAAAATTTTTTTTTTTTTGGCTATTAATAAATCACTTGTAAAAATTTCGACTGTTAATTAATTAATTATAAGAGTAATTAATTAATTGTTTCGATAGGTCGAAAATTTGGCTCGTGAATTTCGACTATATATATATAATTAATAGAATCAGTCGTAAATTTTGACTATAGATCACTCAAAAAATGTTCTGACTATTAATACTGCTATTTATAATAGTCCAATTCGGATGAATAAAATATTCTCCTTTATCTATAGTTTTAAAAATCATTTTTTTTTTTCCCTAGTAAAAGATCGGTATCTCAATATATATATATATTTTTATATCTAATTGTAAACATTTGAAAATATGTTTGAAAATTACAATTTGAAAGAAGTCACGATAAAAAAGTTTTTTTTTTTCTTTCTATTATTTACTTTGGCCTTAAACGGAACAACAACCAAGATTGGTTTTATCAAAAGGATATTTCTTATTTATATATATATATATTGTAAAACGTTGATTCGAATGGCGATAGTGATGAAATATTGACACACACATTTCGCTTGTGGAAATTTTTTTTTTTTTTGCAACTGTATATTATTCTTTGAAAATTATCTAGAAAATTTTTTTTTTTTAGAATATTTCTGGGCACAGAAATCGTTTTTTTCTTGGGGTTGAGAAATGTTAAAAAATTTTCGTTCCTTCTCGATTGTAAAAAAATTTCCTATTTGGAATTCTTTCCAAATTTAACTTTTCAGCTCGGTAGTTTTCAATTTTTATCTTTTTACAAAAGACTCACAAAATCAAATTGAAGATTAATTTTTTATTTAAAAATTCTTCTCACCTTTGGAAAATCCAGTTTTGAAAACAAATTTTTTCATCTTGAATCGTTAAATTCGTTTTTCTTTACAATTCAAAAATGCTGCTGACATAATTTTCTAGTCACGAAAGATTTAGAATTTTTTTTTTGAATTACTCGAATCTTGTTTCTTAATTTAAAAAATTCTTTTTAGAATTTTTCCCCCGAGCTGAAAAATCTCTGCTCTATTTCCAAAATCACACTTTGATATAATATGAAAATTTCTAAACTGATAAATTGTCATGTTTTGAAAAATTGTTTCTAGTGTCAAAAATTCTTTCCTTAAAAGTGAGAAAGAAGAAATAGTAGTAGAAGAAGAAGAAATTGAAATTTTCCGGTCACAGAATATCAGTTTCATAAATTTTGTTTGTTGTCGTTTGATTGGCATTTTGAATATTATTCTGTTGACTATTATTGGAATTTGGTTCAGAATTCGATTTTGTTGCAAGTAAACTTGTTAAAGAACCAGAATTTGTTGTTGTTGTTGTACTCATTCCAAGGCCCATTTTAGCCAATAAATTACTTTCGGAGCCGGTTTTTTTTAATAAATCCGAAGGTGCTGGCGGTGCATTTTGAAATTGTTGTAAACGTGTATATTGTTCTTGAAGAACTTTTTGCCTACGTAAAAGTTCCTGATGTCGTTGTTCAAGTTGTTCGTGTCGTCCTTTTTTATTTTGTATACCCTCCTGTGAATTGACACTTTCACATGAACTTGAATTACTTGTTGAAACAATATTATTAGCGGGTTGTTGTTGTTGATTTTGTTCATCGGAATTTGTATTTGTTGGCAATGCCATTGGTGGTTTGCCATTATTTCTCGTTCTTCGTAAAGTACCACCACCAACAATTGTTGTTGTTGTCAGCGTTGTTGTTGGATTTCTCGGTGGTAATTGAGGACTAGTTGGACTTGCCAATGGTGATCGTGAACTTGTTCTCGGAGGTGGCGGTGGTGGTACACGTCTTGCTGTTGCAATTTGTAATAATTCGGCATTTCTCTCGGGCACAGGTGGTTTTTGAGGTGTTGTAATATTATTACTGTTATCATTTGATACTTGTAATCTTGCAATTGGTGGCGATGTATCGGTGTCAGAACTGGATGGATAGGAGTGTAATCTACGTAGAGTATTGTTGTTGCTATTGCTATTATTTGTTGTTAATATTGGCAAATTTGTTGTTGAATCGATACTTCCTTTTCGGCCGATATCGGATATATTTGGAGCACGACTGTTTGTTTGAATAATGTGACTCGCTGACCTTCCTAAATCGGCTAAGGTCGGTGGATGATTGTGATGATGATGACTGCTGTTTGAGGCCTGACTTAATTGTGAGGCAGGTCGTGAAAATGTTTGTAGTTCATCTAACAGAGCGTCGAGTGCGTTCTCCGGACGCTGCTGATTGGGGGTGGATGAGTCGGTAACGTGGGCCCCTCCCCCAATGATGCTCGTTGACCCCACAATAGTGCGTTCCGCTGGCACTGGGGCAGTTGTCTGTTCAATTAATATTTTATTATTAATTATTTTTACATTCAATTTATATTCTCACGATTTTTTTTTTTTTTTTTTTTTTTTTTTATTTCTTTTTTTAATTTATTCTCTAGTGGCAAAATATCAAAAAATTTTTAGATAATAAATTCTTGGAACAAAGTCTACCTTTATAAATACTTAATTTGAATAATTCATCGTCATTTTACTCTTTGTATATAATTATATAAAAAAAATAATCATTGTTGACTTGTATAAACCAGTAGTGTGAATAATTAATTTCAATAGTAATACATGAGTGAATTAAAAAAATAAACTTTCATGTGAATCAGTTCTTTTTTTTTAATTATGAATATTTTACAAGATATTTTGCCACTGCATAAAAGTACGCTACTTGTCTCTATAAAATTGGCAAAGAGCCATTTTATAAAAAAAGAACAAACTGCGAAATTTTTTTTATAAAGAAAAATTACATAATTATGTACACGCGAAATTGGTAAATCGAAGTTATGAATATCTAATTTTTTTTATAAAATAAAATTATTTAATTTTACAATATTGAGGAAATTCTCACAAATATTTAACAGAAATTAATTTCTTTTTTTCTTTAAAACAACAAAATTAAATTTCTTCAATATTCCAAAAATTCTTTTTTTTTAAATTCACATTGTCTTCGATGTACCATATATTATTAATTATTTCGTTTTCATTTCTATCTAAATGTTGAACGTCATGCCAAAAAAAAAAAGGTTGCACAAACATGCGAGTGAAAGGCAAATATGTGAAAAACAAGGTGTGATTATATTTTGTTAATAAGTAATATAACAATATATTAATAATAAAAATAATAAAATTTTTGTGTTAGATATAGTTACCTGCAGTCGGGTTATAAATTTTTTTTTTGTGTGTTGTACATGTTTTACAAGTCAGTACTCATTTGGAGCTCTTTAACATTGAACACCAATTGCTGTCCGGTATTAGTCAACTTAAAAAAATCAAAAACCAAAAAATTCAAATTAGAAAACAATAGTCAATTAAGGAACGAATCTTTTCCATTTAGAAATAAAAAATAAAATAAAAAAAACACATGTCATTTGAGAGTCGTAAATTCTGTCAGTTCTTGTTAATATCTCAAGTAAATAGCATTTTTTTTTATTACATATTTTGAAAGAAAAAAAATTCACTTATTGAGACATGAAAAATAAAAACTAAAGAATATTTTTCTTTCTTTTTTTTTAAATCACTGCTATTCACTTGAGTGATGATTCGTTTCTTAAAAAAAAAAAAAAAATCATGCGGAAAAAAGTGATAAACGTGCGTCATGCGATTTTCATACACGTTCTAATTGGCATTCGAAAATTGGAAAAAATATAAATCTCGAAAAAAAAAATAAATAAATAATCAACCATTTATAAAGAGACAAAGACAAAACCTTCGGTCCAATCCTTATAGTAAGGCAATAAGTGATGAAAAATTACATGTAAAAAAAATAATAGGCGTGTAAAAAAAAAAATAATGTAAATGCGTAAAATAAAAAGACGATACGAAACAAATTATAGTAGTAAGATATATGAAGATGAGCGAGAAAATACGATATATGCTATATATAAGAGATAAATACGATAAAAAACAAGACAGAAAGCTGATGAAAAATGAAATCATACAAAAGAAAATAATGTAATTTTACAAAAAATGATTATGATCTTCCAAACAGATTTACAATATAGCTCTACATATTTTTTTTTCTTATTATTTGCGATGATATTTATATATTACGAACAAAATTTCAGCGAAAGTGATAATTTTTTTTTTGAAGAAATATTACCGTTTATCAAATTCTTTTAATTTTATAAAAATTGTTTTACAAAAACGGTAAAAAATCTTTTTTCATCGCTCAACGATGAAGAAGTAATTTATCTATATTGATACATCGAACATTGCCAATTAGGTGAATACGCAATTTTATATAAATTTTCAGTAAAAATATATAATAATATAAAATAATATAATATATAATTATCAATATAAATTAATTAAAATTCTAATAAATTTTTGGTATTAGATTAAAAAAATATTTTTTATTCCAGTCCCAAAAATTTGCAATTCATTAGAATTTAAATGGGACAATAAAAAAGAACCTATTATTGAAAATAAATAGATATATTAATATAAGGTATAATTATTATTATATAATAATTATATATTATATATCATTATATATTAAATATAATTGTATAACAACGAATAAATGTATATTTATAAATATACATTTACACTGGAACCTCAGTTATTGAAACACTTCCAATTCGTATCATGTGTCTCAATAACTCGAGTTCAAGTGTATACTGAAAATTTAAATAACAGATCCAATTTGACTGTACGTCTTTAAGAAAGGATTTGCTTTTTAAGGTTTTCTTTTTTCTTTTGCAGATATCAACGCACTATTTTAATAATGCATCACAATTGAGCTATAATAATAATTGTTAATAATACCAATTGCCATAATGAAACTAGAGCTATTTTAGGAAATCCAATGTAAACCTTGGACAATGGGATACCTTACTATAAGAAATGGATTGGAGCTTATATGTCTTATTGTGAAAAAAGTAATATTTTTAGTTTCGTATCTCTTTCCAATATATATCACAAAATTTTTAATTATTAATACTTAATATAATTTTTACAATATAATATTATCAATATTAACAATTTATTTAATTTATCCTTGCTTATAATTAACAATTTATTCCAATTATTATCTTTAATTTAATTAAGAACTAATTAGCAGTAACTAATATTACTTAATTAAGTTAATAACTAATTATCACTATGTACCACTAATTAATAACTAATTTTTACAATTAAAAATAATAATTTAGAAATAAATTGATAATTAATAAAATAATAATAAATTAATATTTAATTAATTATTAATATTAATAATTGAATTTTCTATTAAATGTACAATTTTTTGACACTTTCCGTGAAACAATTTTTGATATACTTAAATACTACGTAATATATATTACATAAAAAAAATACGAAACCTTAAAAATTATTATACGGTAAATTCAAGTGATATAACGATTTATAGCTAACCAGGATTTGACGAAATTGATTATCGATATAAACAAAGAATTGAAAAAAAAAATGTGATCCAAACAGCATTTTTAATATAAAAGAGAAAAATACCATATAGCGATTTAGAGTCTTAGCAGAAAAAGGTGGTTTAGTTAAAATTTCATTTAAGGTGCAATTTTTTTTCATGACCTTAATGCACATTGTATATAGAAAGAAAAATGTTGAGTCAGCAAAAATGTTGTCTTTTATTTTTCAATTTATTTATTTATTTGCCGGAAAATTTTTCTTAGCCAATTCTCGCTTTTTCGTAAAAAAAAAAAACTTTGTTTCAAAGAACAGATTTTTCGTTGTCTTTTTTTTTTATAGAATTTTTCCAAATAATAAAATATACTGCCTAATGAATCTGTGCATTGGTTATAATTAATTAATTTTAATACTTGTAAAGGGATTTAATTTTAAATAAATAATTTTTTTTTTAAATTCTCGACAACATTTCTGTTACTGAGATGCATTTCTAACTGAAAGATTTTTTTTTTATCTGTTGTTATTAAATAGCAGTGTGAATGAAGAAGTCGCAAGAAACTGAGAAATAACTTTGAAGATTTCTTACAAATTAAGAACAAGCATGAATTAAAAAATGGAAATATATTGAAATTACTATATAGCACGTGTAAAATATAAAATATTAATTGTTTTTAGCATCTTCCAATATTCTGCCGAACAAAATTTTTATTTACATTCTAATATTCAATTCTGAAATTAATTCTTCAAGTTTATTTTGTAATTTTATATTTAAATTTATCATTTTTTTTAGAGTTTTGATTATTTAATTACAATTTTTTTGTTTAAAAATTTTTTTAAATCATAAATTTAAACTTTAAATGTAAAATTATAAATTAAAATTTTTTATTTTAAAAGATTTTATAATTTTCATAGCACACAAACAATTGAAACATTTTTACTGGGATTAAATTATAAAATACTCGATTTTTTTTTATTTAATTATTTTTGAACATAAAACTTTTTAAACGGATTTTTTTTAATTATCTATTTTTTTCTTTAATTAGTGGTTTTGTCTAGATACATATCAACTAAAGTATCAACTACAAATCGACGATCCTAAATTTATTGAAATTATTAAATTAAATTTTTATTAGACTTAAATTAAACATGCTTTACAACTATAAAAGGCCATACAAATGAATTGATAATATATAATATTATATATAGTGTTTTTCATATAATAATAATTAATAATTGACATTCGGCAGAATAGTTTCAGTGCTAGTGTATATATATGGTATATAAGTAGCTTTGAAAATGACTTATGAAAAAGACATATCGAACAATGAGAAGTATATAATATATAAAATATAGTATAGAATATAGTAATGAATTAATATTATGAATAATATTTAAAAATTACTCGTGACTGGTCTGTATGGCCTCCTTGAAGTTTCTACTCTTCATCCAGTCATACTATAAAAATTAATATTAGATTCACTAAATGAGGTTGTGCACTGGATTCAGTTGCTTGTTGTTCCGATTATAATTCTACTTCTGTTTCACGGCAGTTTTTTTTAAAGTGATATACAAAAAAAAAAATAATAGAAACAGTTTCTGCGATCAACAATGTTTTTTCCACCATAAAATTAAAAATCATTGTTGCTTCAGAATTTTCATTAAAACTAACACAGGTTTTTTTTTTTTTTTTTTTTTTTTTAAATGATTCACAGCTAACATTGAATGATTTGACAAAACATTACATTATCATAAATTTATTAATTAGTTTATAATACATTTTTTTATTTGAATAATAATAATAAATTTAAATAATTATTATGCTATTGAAACGAAAAAATTTTTTAAATCAATAAAATAATAAGAAATAATTAAATGCTACTTAAATAATAAATAAAGTAGATTTTTGTTATGCACTTAATCAGTTCTAATTTAATTAGAACCAAAATTTCTTAATAAATTTATTATATAATTTCCATATTCTCAATTAAATTATCGATTCAGTCAAATGTTTTGTCACATCATAAATTAAAATGTAAAAGGTCTATGCTATCGGGAAACAGCAAACATTGAAAAAATTATCTTTGAGGTATCATGGAGCAGGAAGTCGTTGATACAAAAAAAATTTACAAAAATAATTTTCACACATATTTATACATATATAAAAATTATATATGTATATATATATATATAATTCATGGAGTCAAAAGAAGACATTTTCCTAGGTTTTTTTTTCTTAATTGCAACATTATTCTTCCTAAGCATAAAATACGTAAAACGTACTTGAGCATATATAATTATTACCAGAGTCCAGAGATAAGATTAATTTTCGTAGACAAGACCTTACTTTTGCATAAAGAAAAAAAAATTCAAGTCCGTTTTTTAAAGCATATTTTCTCTTAATTTAGAACAAATAAACTAAAACAATCACACATAAATAATTATTAATTTCCAATTAATACATCTATTAAAAAAAAAACCTCACAAACACGCCAAATACGTTTACTCCTTTCTCTGTTTCTCCTTTTATAATTGAAAAAAATAAATTTTCCTTGAAAACAAAGATGTGTTTTTTTTTCTCTCTCGAAGGGTTCAAGGAAAAAAGAAATCGACGTCTATTTGGACTTATTATATATAAGAAGGTTTACATTAGATTTCACATTTATTATAACAATCATAATATATAATGTTAAAAAAAAATCAGACAATCAAAACTAAACAAAGGCGAATAGGTATCACATAACATTGACGCGATGATTATTATTATTTATTAAATTTAAAAGCAAAAAATAAAAATATAATCTCAAAAACTAATTTATAATTAAAAATTACATAGAAAATAATTCTATAAACATTCAAGCACGGATATAGATATTTAAAGACAAAAAAATTACGCGGGTAAAGCGTAAAAGAGTGGAAAAAAATTAATTAAAATTCTGCACATCTTATAGTATAATATATAACTAAAAATATTATAGTAGGTATATTATTTTATAAAATTATTGTAATGTAGAGATCTATTTATCTTACTATAGAATAAGTTTCAATTATTGTCAAAAGCATTGGATTGGTGATAAATAAATAGTTGCGCAAAAATTCAAACTGACTTACTGCATTTAAAGTAGATTTTTCAATCGATTTTCTTTTTTTTTCATAAAAAATCTGTTAACAAATTTTTTTCATACAAATTAATTTTATTTACTTTTAGTAAAATATTCCCATAAAGAATTATTATAAAAGATATTAAATTTATTTACATTTGTTTAAAAATCCAAAAACTAAAATTTTTAAAATATTAAATAAATAAAAAATTACATTGGAACAAAGCAATGTAAAAATCTAAAAATAAAATGCAGTGAGCCATATAGAAACAAATTTTCAAAAGCAAAACTTAAAAATCGAAAAAATCATTTCATTTTGACAATTGAAAATTTTAATTTCGTCGCGCAATACAAAAATTGTTGTCATCTCAAATAAATAAGAATTCACACTCATTAAAATCAGCATGCTTTTAAAATTAATTTTTGTTTTATATATAAATTATTCCAATCATGAAAATTCATTTCAAAAAGAAATATTTTCATTAAAATTAATTTTTACGTCTATATAAAATTTAAAGAAAGAAAATATTCTCAGTAATTAAACATTTTGTACTGAAAGTTACCCTGCTGTTATAATAATAATAATTATACCACAGATTTTGTTTTTTTTTTCTACATATTTAAATCATACACACATTTTTTTTTGTCTCTTACTTTCATTCAAGGTACTTTGTATCGCCATAAATATTTTGTATTTATAAAATTGAATAAAATCTGCTGTTTTACATTGCCCTTATTTTTCAATATCATCTTAAATTATATATTTTTTTTTACTTTTATAATCCAAGCAGATATTTTCACAAAAAAAAAAGCAAATTACATGCATTGGCAGTTTGCGAACAAAGGATTAAATAAAAAAAAGAACAAAACTGTTTTTTTTTTTTTGGAGGAAAAAACTGAAGGATTACACGATATCAGGCAGTTCGCTTAATTACCTTAGAGTGCTGCGTCGATGTTGGTGTTATTGGTGGCGTCTCCTCTACGTCAACACTTCCTGCATTTGGTAATCGCTGCTCTTGCACCGATGCTAAGCTGTTGGGGGAAAAAAAAGAATTATTTCATTTCATAATGGAAAAGAGAAAAAAAAATTTTCCCTACAAAAATATAATAAAGCAGAATTATTAAAATGATAAAACTATTATTAAAGCATAAAATAAATTTATAGTAAATTATTTATTTTTTTGATCAAGTACCGTTTGAGAGTGACGAGAGTACCAGTCAACTTTTTGCAACGTTTTAATACTGATTCTAATCGGTCAGGCTCCTCCTTAAGGAATTTTTCTTCTCGCATGACTTTTTCCATTTCAGAACTCAGAAGACCCTTCATACCTTCCTGAAGACTCGGGAATCTCACTTTGAGATCAGCAACCGTTTTGCTGTGAATAATACAAAATTATTAATTAATCAATAAACATAAATTTTTATTAATTTTCTTTCTGATTTTCTTTTTTTTGATATTATATCCGAAATTTGATTAAAACAAACTATAATTATTAAATTCTGATAAAAATTATAATAAAAAAAATACATATATTTGAAAACAAATTCTCCTACTGCAGATAAAAAATTTATTAATTTAATTTTGAACATTTACCCTTTTTCGTTGCATTTAACTATAAAAGATGATTGAAAAGAATTTGAATAATAATTAATTAGCTTATATAATTAAATTTTTTAGTCGTTATTTCAAAAAAAAGAATTCATACCTCGCTTTATTGAGAATCAATGCCATATTTTCAACATCCGACATGTTAACTCGAGTTTTTCTATTGATGACGTTGCCTCGAAGTTCTTCCACGGTACTTTCAAGGCCGCTGTAAAATTAATTAATTAGGTTTTAGAAAGAATTTCATCAATATTGATGTAAAAAAAAATTTTGATTTTTTTAATCCATCCTCAAGAGGAATTTGAATTTTTAGCAGCTTTTCCTGCAATTTCCAAGTGTGTGAATTTATAAATAAAATACGAATAATATCAAATAATATAAGAATTTTTTAAAAAATCAATTCAAAATACTTACGTGAGATCTTTTTCTAACCACAGCATTTCTTGTTTATAGAGATCCTCTTCTCGACTTAATCGCAGCTTTTCTGTATCACCAGCTGTCAATGCATTTTCTCCCAAGGACATTAACATTGCTCTAAAAATAAGAAAATACATTAAAAATGTAAATGTTTTTTTTGTCTACAAGAATTTAAATTACAAATTTTGAAAAAACGTAAAAAATGTATAAAAAATAAGTATTAAATTCAAGTTATGATAATGAAGAAATAAATGAATTAATACCTAATCGTAATGTAGGCATCTCTAATACTTTCTCGAACAGTGTGCGATTGAGCTTGAGCCATACGTCGTAAATTTCTTTTTTCTTGATTGAGATCTTTTGCCTTCTTTTGTAAAACTCTAAGTTGATTGTACATTTCCGGTGCCAGGGTTAAATCTCCATAGACATATTGTCCTGTCGTTAGTGCAACTGGTTTCGGTGGTGGTGTAGGTTTGTGCCTTTCTCGTTCTCTCTCTGAAAAATAATTCAGTAAAATTAATTTTACTAATAATTTTTTATATTTTCCAAACGTAAAGCTTTCTAAAAATTCTTCAAATACAACATTTTATACTATTAGCTACCAACAATTTACATTTTTATTTTCTGCTCACAAAACTACTGCACTATTTTTATTTTATACACTTTTTCTACCATGTTTTTTGTGTTTTCTATTTTTTTTAAAATTATTTTTAGTTAATAGCATTATTTTTTGATCCAATTTTCATTTACACTACTGCATACAATTAATCTTAGTTTCTCTAAATTTTATTCCAATTCTATTTGTCTAAAATAATAATAGTAATACATATAGTGAAATAAAATTTTATAAATGTGAAGTAAATAATAAAAAAAAAATGAATAACATACTCGAGAGAAATACATTTTACCTTGCGAAGACATTCTCGGTAATGTTGAAGATTTGATAGCCGGTTTCGTAGGCTTTGTATCCGCTTTGTAGCATTGCACAATTGTTCAATAAGATTTTTAAATTGTTCATTTATATTTTTATCATTAAAGCAGAGATTGAAGTTTATTTATATAATAGAATTTTATTTTTCAGTCAACTTTTTCTAATCCAATTTTCATATTAATTATCTATACGTAATTTAAATTAATATTTATATTAAAAAATAAATAAATAAAATATAAATTATAATTTCTTAACATTATATAATATTGCGTCCATATAATTGAATATATTAATTATTATGGTTATAACTTATATTTTAAGGAAGAATCTCTAATATCCATATAAGGAAGAATGTTTATAATCTCTCTCTCTTTATACATATACTATAAGAGGAAGAATTTTCACAATCTATGTGGTTAAAGGATCGATAGCAGTTTTATTATTTATGGTCAATTTCACGAAATTTCCATAAATTTTCATAAATAATTATAGCTTCAATCTCTGTATGAACTTTGAGATACTAAAAACATTTATAATGTACCTGCATGTTGAGGTGAATGCTGCTTTGGAGAATTCATATCTGGTGGCTCGTCGCTGAAGGACACGGACTTCTCGAACGACACCGACTTGTCTGAAAGAAATATTTTTCAAAAAATCAATTTTTACATGTGATCTTGAAAAAAAAATTAAGAAACATAAAGCACAAACATTAACATGCTTTGGAAAAAAAGAATAAAATTTTTTTTTATGTAATTATTAAAAATGCACGCAATTAACAAATTACGTAGATTATTAAATAATTTGTTCAATACAATAGTAAATTAATAATACAATAACAAATTAGTAATATAATAATAGATTAATAATATATATAATTATAAATATAATAGTTATAATATAATGACATAAAAGTACCAACAGTCAAACTTCAATAATTCGAATCACTACAGAAAACAAAATTTCTTTTTTATAATGATTTTTACTAAAATAAAAAATTGATAGAATAAAAAAATTTTTGAATTATTAAAAAATTTTAATTATTAAAGTTTGACTGTGTAAGATATTGTTTCACGATTTCGTGAATTAATATTTAATAAAATATAATTAAATAACAATACACATAGATTAATAAATTAAAATACGTTGTTTTTTTATACCTAAATGTTCCAAACTTTTTTATCATAAAATCTTTATAAACAATGATAATTTTGGTTTTTTAGAAAAAAAATTTATTTTTTATTAATAATAAATAAAAGTATTAAAAATTTTTTTTTTTTAAATTATTTGTCAAATTATTATTTTTATATCAGTTTTGTAATCGTATGAAAAAAATAAGTTTCAAATTCGGCTGAAAGAATGTAAAACTAAAATGTAAACCATTCAAAACAGAATCAATTTAAATAAAAGAAAAAAATCCCGAAAAATGTACAAACTTTTTGATATAATTATTAATCAGCAGAAAGTTTTTTTTCTTTTCTTTAAATTGAAAACTATTCGAATTTTAACTTCAATCGTCAAAAGTGATTAAAATAAAAATTGGAATAAATAATATTTCTATCTACGGAATGATTAAAATAAGAATGAAAATAAATTTTAAATTGTTATATCTTAATAAACTTTTTAACTTTCAATTTCTTTAAACCACATTGATTCAATCCCTTTTTTAAATATAAATATATGACACAGAAACATAGTAAATTATAATCTACAGAAAACACAACATTTAAACATCAAAATATATTATCTAAATAATAAAAAAGTATTATTTAAACAATAAAAATATATTATTTAAATAATACAAAAATTTATTATTTACATGAAAAAAACATTTAAATACAAATAAATATAATCTACGAATGAGACTAAATATAACGAAACAAGCAATAAAAATAGATAAACGAACTAATAATTGTGCAGTAATTGTTGAAATTCTAAAAAACGAATTTGACTAATTGACTAATTTAATTCATTTTTTAGTTTTGCTAATTTTATTAATTAATTATCCAATTAGTTATTTAACTAATTAATTATACAATCATTTAATTAAATAATTATCTAATTAGTAATTTAATTAATTATTGATGTGATTAATTAAATTTACTAATTAGTAATAAAAAAATTTCGTTCACAGAATTTTCAAACTAATGACATACACAAGTATAAAATATTTAAATTTTGACATACACGAATTATTGAAAATTGCATATATAAATCAAGCGAATATTGCAAAAATAGCGAGTGATGCAGAGACAAGAATTATATATAATAAAAAAAGAAAAAAAAAACAATGGTACTTATTTTTTCATGAAAAAAAAGCGCACCTTTCCCTAATTTTGGTGGCTTAGCGTCAGTCCTTAAGTAAGAGTCATCTGTAACGGTATAGGTGAGACACTTATTTGCAAGGTGGCGAAATACTGACACTGAGGTAACAACGATAGAGTGACACTGTAATCGGAGGAAAATAGAGATAGAGATTTAAAGACACACCTGGCAGTGAGGCAGAGCTGGAACTAGATTGTTTGTCGAACTCGTCCCCTGCGCCTGGTGTGCATTAGTCGGAATTACAAAGCAGTTTTACAGCAGTTTTTTTTTTTTGTTTTTAAAAAAGGAAATTATCTCTCTTTTTTTTGCATCAGTAGCCAGACATAGTTATAACAATTTTTGTTTTGCAAAAGAATAAAATAAAAAAGTATTTCAAAATTCTTTCTAAAAACCACTCATGGATTACAATTTTTTTTTTTTATCTACGAAAAAAATTACATTAATAAGAAGCATTTGTACATTGCCAAAGCTAAATTAAAACTGTTCGAAAATGATTTACATTTTGCAAATTTTTAAAAATTAAATTAAAAATCCATAATTTAAAAATTATAAAATATTTCTAAAAATACAAAAACATTTTTTTCCACAATATTCTTTATTTATATGAGAAAACAAATTTGCAAAATATTTTTAAACTAAGCTAAAATAAAAATAAATTAAAGAAGAATTTTTTGTTTTAATTTTTTTCAGTAAACCTCTATAATAAGCATCCTCAACAAATTAATTTAAATAAAGAAAATCAGTTAAAATTTACATATTATTAAACTTGTCATCATTGTTGAACAGTTCATTGTGCAAAATAATAAATTCACTTTCACTATTGCATGCGCTTAAAGCGTTGGCGATTATTATAAGCATTTTCTTTTTTTTTTTTAATACAAAATTTATTATTACTAATTAATTAAAAAAATATTTCAAATAAATTAAAGCCATGTTAAAAAAAAAAATTGTATCACTTTTACATAACACATTTAAAATTCAGAACACGATTTTTGTTTTCAAATTGTATAAATATATATAAGGAAGAAAGTGGAATATACTGGTTTTTCTTTCTAATTATCCTAGATTTTCAAAGATTTGCAATCTTTTGACTGAATGGTGCGAATTCATAAAAGTGAAAACAAAACTAACGCAATATCAAAAATGTTAATTGAAAATTATGCAATAAATTTTTATATCCACTCTTTCGTGACTTTATAAATATATAAAAAAAAAAAATTTTCCTTTTTTCTATAATTCTATGTGTGGCTACTGAAATAAAAGCATTATTATTTCGCTGCAGAAAAATTTTTTCATTATTTTCCCCAACAATTATGGTATATCCGAATTCAGTGACAGTTTCTTATATATACAATTAACATTTTACATAAATAACGTGTCATTAGTTCGATTGAGATTTAGTTTACAGTTTTAGTTTACATTTATATGGAAATAGTGGGTTTTTCCTGGTAGAAATATACTTACACTAAACATTTGTTACTTAAAATATTTACTAAACTAACAACTCATGTACACAAAAAAAAAATTTCTGAAATTGAAAGTCTTTTTATATTATTTTCCAAAAAAAAAAAAAAAAATGAGAAATTTTCTTCTTTTGAAAATTTAGAAGAAAATCCTCTTAAATGAGTTAGAGACAAAAGTAGAATGATAAAATGATTCCTCTAATATTAAAAATATTTCTTTAATTAAATGTTTAATTAAATTTTAAATTTTCTTTATAATTTCAAATCTAATTATAAATAATTTTGAAAATATTAAATTATTTACTAATTATTATATAGATTAAAATTTAATTATTCATTTATTTTCGTCATATTCAATAATTTCATACTTTCATGAGCCACTAACAAGATCAAAATTAATCATGTGTACGATGTCGGTTTAATTATCTTCATTCCTTCTAATTTGACTTCAATCAACTTTAGTATTAAAGTTATTCAGACTAGCGAGCATAGTAGATCACTAATAAAATAATTATGTAATATTCACATTAATGTGAAAATTCCACAAAATTTATAATAAATAAAGGGATCAAAATTTTATTAAATAATAAAAAAAATAATAATTTTTTTTTATCAAAATTCTCTAATCAATAAAAAAAAGAGAATCTTTAAAAAAAAATAATTTTCAAATTTAATAATTAAAATTAAAATAAATAATAAAAAATAAAAAATATCTTAAATAAATTTTCCAGTGAACTGAAATTTCTGATTGAAGTTGTCATAATTTACAATGTTGTAAAGAATAAATATTTGTATACCTTGTGTTCTCGTGTATGGTTCACGTCCAGCGGGAATTTGCAAATAATCCCTCGGAGATGGACTGGTATGTTGAGGATGTATTAAAGCCTTTTGCACAATCCCAGTTAAATTAGCAAGCTGTCGTTCCATGTTCTCCACCCTCAACCTATTAAAATAATTTTAATTAAAACACTTGTAACAAAAATCATTATATTAAATAATTTTATTTTTGAAAATTCTAATACTATTTTATCGATTTTGACCGGTTTTACATTTCCTTAAATATATTATTATTATTATTATTATTATATTTGAAAGAATTAGATCTACTTCACGATAATATATAATTACTTAATTAATTATCAACCGTTTAATTGTAATTTAGAAGCATGTTCCTATATTTAGTGAACGACCTTTATATAATATCGATTAATAATTATTTTTTTTTTAATTTAATACCAGTTGCAAGTCAGAGTGAGTGAAATTAAATTGACCTTTAATTAATATTCTATTTTTCTCATTAGATTAAAAATGTAAACTAATCATTCTTGTAATGCAATAAAAATCGATATTAGAAATTATATTTTTTGAATTGTATGTAAATTATATTGGAAATTTTCAATTCCAAAAGAGTATTAATAGAACTATATATATATATATCAATAATCAACTATAGCCCACACATTTCTCCACTCATTAAATCAATAAGTGAAAGTATGGTCTTTAGTTTTGTTTTTTACATGCACTGTTAATAATTCATATTAATTTCATAGCGAGAAATTATAATTTCATTTAATGAAAAAAAAATTTCATTTTACTTTAAAAAAATGTTTTATATAAAAAAACAAAATTTATCTAAGATTTATTCTAAAATTTTTATCAGGCAACTAATTAAAATTAACTACTCTATTTTTAACATATTATGCAAACAAATGTTTAATAATGAATGTGAACTAAATGGATGCAATGTTTTCTAGTATAATTTTCTGTTAATTAAATAATAGAGTTAAAAATTGTTACTCTAAAACAATTAGTCATTGATTAAATTAATTATTTTTTAATAATAATTTTTTACCTTTTTTTTATATTTTTATATAGGAAAAATATTTAATTTGCAGAAAATTGCTAATTTAGAATAATTATTATTGTTAAATGAATGATGTAATTACACGATTATTGTTATATTAAAAAAATATATAAAAAAAAATCTATAAAACTGAAATCATTTTTAATTTTAATTATTTCACTAATGCAAATAATTAATGATGCGTGTAATGAAAATTTCGCATGCTACAATTTCACATTCTCCTCTACTATGTAAATATATAAATGAAGACCGCGAAACGAGCCTAAACACTGAAAGAAATGAAGTACCAAATTTTATAAAATTTAATAATTATTTTAATTCAGTGTTGACCGAAAATGTCTTTAATCTATGCCTACATTTTTTTTGCACCAATCTTCGTATTTCTAATTTTATTTTTTTTTTTTAATTAAAAAATTATATCACTCAATAAAATTTGAATTACATAATTATAATTTAAAAATAAAACTACATCTCACTAAAACATGCAATTTTGAAAATAAAAAATATTTTTCAAATTAAATTTTTTTTAAAATCAATTTTCACCGAAGAATAATTTCTTTTTTTTAAATAAATCTAAAAGCAGACGTTGATGCAGGCACAGATTTTGTAATTTTTTTTTTTATAATGAAAATGATACCGAGTGACATCGTCCCGGGGTCCAACAGGGGGTATAGTGGGTGCTCCTGGAGGAAATGGGGAACGAGCGAGGGGTCCAGATGGTGGGCGACCTGACGGTTTCACACCGTAAAGACTGTATGATTCCTCCAATAGTTCCGTATCACTGCATCATTCATAACAAGACACACATACATCCAAGAAATTAAGAATGGAATTTTCCTATTTTTCCTCAATAAAAAAAAAAAAAAAAATTGTCTATAAAATTCTTGGCACACAAGAAATTTTACCCATGAAATATTTTCTGCTAATTTGATACATTATGATATATGATAATGATATGATGAAAAATATACATATGAATCATTCATTCAAAAAATACATTTTCAAAAAGTGATTGATAATATTCTTATATATATATTTATTCTCTATTAATTAACAATCGAAATTTTTATTTAATTAAGCACTTTTATATTAATAAAAAAAGATTTATGATGAAATACAAAAATTATAAATTGACCTTTAAATTTAAATTCTTCTTGGGTAATAATAGTAAGAAATTTGTAATTCGTGAGTGGTCAAAAATAATTACTCTAATATTATTATTAACTCATAGGAAATAATGAAAATTTTAATATTAATTTGTTATTCAAAATGAAAGGAAAAAAAAAATAAATGCATTAAAAAAAAGACAAATAATGAATGATAAAAAAAATAATTACCTAGCCTCCTCATCAATGACAGGTGTCACCGTTCCGGAATACTGCGAATAATACGGATCCTCATAGCTACTGGCACCACTGTACGGTACTGGTGGATATCTTCCTGGTCCAGATCCACTTCCTCTCTCTGGACTACTCATGTAACCACCTTCGCCATGAATTCGATCTGCAGAATCATTGATATTTATTATTTAATGACAATGCATAAAACATCAATGTCAAAATATATAAAAAAAAATTGCACAATTTTATTGACGCAATTTTGATATTTAGAAATCTTAAATATAAATGTATTTATGAAATTTGATAAGAAATTATGTTGAAAATGATTTGACAAATTATCTAAATGATATATGAAATTCTACCCAATCCAACTCAACAATTCTACAAAAAATATTATACAGGTATTTTATCAATAATAATAATAATTCAAAAACTATATTCAAATAGCATGCATTTTACTTATAAATTTTTTATACTATTTTTGATATACGTATACTCAAAAATGGTCAATCAAACGATAAATATATTTCTCAAGAGCGCGAGAACTAAAGAATTACTTAAACCATAATAGGAAAGGACAAGAACACAGAAATTTTCTCATTACTTAATCCATAATTGTCGAGTCAGTATTGTGCCACCTTAAATTGTCTTTATTTTTTTAAATTCTTAAAGACTTGTTTCTAGTGTGGTGTGAAAAAATACAGCCCCAACTTCCTTCATCCAATTTTTTTTTGGTGTCAATATTTTTATTTATTGCATAAATAAAAAATTTATTTTTTATCTCGTTTATTATTAATAAATAAAAATAAATTGTTTTAAATATAGAAGAAAAAGAGAAAAAAATTGTTATTTGAGAGAATTTTCACCTTCTTTTTTTTTGCTTCGAGTCTTTTTACTAACCTGGTATACTATAGAGAGATACCGAGCTGTCTCTCGAGAACCGAGAGGAGCCACTCTGGTAGCTTCGAAGCGGCTTGGCTGGTGCCACCCCGCCACCTATCCAATCACCGAAATCAAAATCATTTTTTTTTCTTTTTTTTTTTTACTAATTACTATGCCTCATCGATAACAGCTGCAAAAAATTTTTCACTCTTTCCAATAATTCAACTCCATTGCTTTATCATAAAAATTGTTAGTCATATGCAAGAATAAAATTTAATCACCATTTTTTTCAATTTCGCAAAAATTGCCAACTAACTCAATTTTATATTTAAATTAATTCCAAAAAAAATAATTCAGTTTATTGGGGAATTAATAATACAAAAAAAAAATAACCCGTTTTCAGGTAATAATAGTATTATTATTATCATTAATTCAAAGTAGCCACTAAAACTTAGCAAATAATCGAAAAAAGAAAATTCTTCAAAAAATAACCAATTTCACTATGACCTAGCTCAGCATCCTCTGGACCAATTAAAAAGAGCGCCATACATTTATTGTTCAGAACATTTTTCAAAATAATTTGGTTACATTCCGATAAGAATATCTAGAAAATTTAATTTTTTGAATTTTTTCCGAATTTGTTTTCTACTACAGCTCAGCATCCGCTGGACCAATCAAAAAGTGCGCCATACATTTTTTGTTCGAAACTTTTTCCCTATTTTATTGGCGGTATTCCGGAACGATTATAACGCAAATTTAATTTTTCGAAAATTTTCCGAATTTATTTTTTAGTATAGCTCAGCATCCGCTGGACCAATCAAAAAGTGCGCCATACATTTTTTGTTCGAGACTTTTTGCTCAATTTTTTGGCATTATTCCCGAGTCATTATCTGGCAAATTTTTTTTTTCGAAATTTTTTTCCCAGTTTTAGTGAGTGTAGCTCAGCATCCGCTGGACCAATCAAAAAGTGCGCCATACATTTTTTGTTCGAGACTTTTTGCTCAATTTTCTGGCATTATTCCCGAGTCATTATCTGTCAAATTTTTTTTTTCGAAATTTTTTTCCCAGTTTTAGTGAGTGTAGCTCAGCATCCGCTGGACCAATCAAAAAGTGCGCCATACATTTTTTGTTCGAGACTTTTTGCTCAATTTTTTGGCATTATTCCCGAGTCATTATCTGTCAAATTTTTTTTTTCGAAATTTTTTTCCCAGTTTTAGTGAGTGTAGCTCAGCATCCGCTGGACCAATCAAAAAGTGCGCCATACATTTTTTGTTCGAGACTTTTTGCTAAATTTTTTGGCATTATTCCCGAGTCATTATCTAGCAAATTTTTTTTTTCGAAATTTTTTTCCCAGTTTTAGTGAGTGTAGCTCAGCATCCGCTGGACCAATCAAAAAGTGCGCCATACATTTTTTGTTCGAGACTTTTTGCTCAATTTTTTGGCATTATCCCCGAGTCATTATCTGGCAAATTTTTTTTTTCGAAATTTTTTTTCCAGTTTTAGTGAGTGTAGCTCAGCATCCGCTGGACCAATCAAAAAGTGCGCCATACATTTTTTGTTCGAGACTTTTTGCTCAATTTTTTGGCATTATTCCCGAGTCATTATCTGGCAAATTTTTTTTTTCGAAATTTTTTTCCCAGTTTTAGTGAGTGTAGCTCAGCATCCGCTGGACCAATCAAAAAGTGCGCCATACATTTTTTGTTCGAGACTTTTTGCTCAATTTTTTGGCATTATTCCCGAGTCATTATCTGGCAAATTTTTTTTTTCGAAATTTTTTTCCCAGTTTTAGTGAGTGTAGCTCAGCATCCGCTGGACCAATCAAAAAGTGCGCCATACATTTTTTGTTCGAGACTTTTTGCTCAATTTTCTGGCATTATTCCCGAGTCATTATCTGTCAAATTTTTTTTTTCGAAATTTTTTTCCCAGTTTTAGTGAGTGTAGCTCAGCATCCGCTGGACCAATCAAAAAGTGCGCCATACATTTTTTGTTCGAGACTTTTTGCTCAATTTTTTGGCATTATTCCCGAGTCATTATCTGTCAAATTTTTTTTTTCGAAATTTTTTTCCCAGTTTTAGTGAGTGTAGCTCAGCATCCGCTGGACCAATCAAAAAGTGCGCCATACATTTTTTGTTCGAGACTTTTTGCTAAATTTTTTGGCATTATTCCCGAGTCATTATCTAGCAAATTTTTTTTTTCGAAATTTTTTTCCCAGTTTTAGTGAGTGTAGCTCAGCATCCGCTGGACCAATCAAAAAGTGCGCCATACATTTTTTGTTCGAGACTTTTTGCTCAATTTTTTGGCATTATCCCCGAGTCATTATCTGGCAAATTTTTTTTTTCGAAATTTTTTTTCCAGTTTTAGTGAGTGTAGCTCAGCATCCGCTGGACCAATCAAAAAGTGCGCCATACATTTTTTGTTCGAGACTTTTTGCTCAATTTTTTGGCATTATTCCCGAGTCATTATCTGGCAAATTTTTTTTTTCGAAATTTTTTTCCCAGTTTTAGTGAGTGTAGCTCAGCATCCGCTGGACCAATCAAAAAGTGCGCCATACATTTTTTGTTCGAGACTTTTTGCTCAATTTTTTGGCATTATTCCCGAGTCATTATCTGGCAAATTTTTTTTTTCGAAATTTTTTTCCCAGTTTTAGTGAGTGTAGCTCAGCATCCGCTGGACCAATCAAAAAGTGCGCCATACATTTTTTGTTCGAGACTTTTTGCTCAATTTTCTGGCATTATTCCCGAGTCATTATCTGTCAAATTTTTTTTTTCGAAATTTTTTTCCCAGTTTTAGTGAGTGTAGCTCAGCATCCGCTGGACCAATCAAAAAGTGCGCCATACATTTTTTGTTTGAAACTTTTTCCCTATTTTATTGGCGGTATTCCGGAACGATTATAACGCAAATTTAATTTTTCGAAAATTTTCCGAATTTATTTTTTAGTATAGCTCAGCATCCGCTGGACCAATCAAAAAGTGCGCCATACATTTTTTGTTCGAGACTTTTTGCTCAATTTTCTGGCATTATTCCCGAGTCATTATCTGTCAAATTTTTTTTTTCGAAATTTTTTTCCCAGTTTTAGTGAGTGTAGCTCAGCATCTGCTGGACCAATCAAAAAGTGAGCCATACATTTTTTGTTCGAGACTTTTTGCTCAATTTTTTGGCATTATTCCCGAGTCATTATCTGGCAAATTTTTTTTTTCGAAATTTTTTTCCCAGTTTTAGTGAGTGTAGCTCAGCATCCGCTGGACCAATCAAAAAGTGCGCCATACATTTTTTGTTCGAGACTTTTTGCTCAATTTTTTGGCATTATTCCCGAGTCATTATCTGGCAAATTTTTTTTTTCGAAATTTTTTTCCCAGTTTTAGTGAGTGTAGCTCAGCATCCGCTGGACCAATCAAAAAGTGCGCCATACATTTTTTGTTCGAGACTTTTTGCTCAATTTTCTGGCATTATTCCCGAGTCATTATCTGTCAAATTTTTTTTTTCGAAATTTTTTTCCCAGTTTTAGTGAGTGTAGCTCAGCATCCGCTGGACCAATCAAAAAGTGCGCCATACATTTTTTGTTCGAGACTTTTTGCTCAATTTTTTGGCATTATTCCCGAGTCATTATCTGTCAAATTTTTTTTTTCGAAATTTTTTTCCCAGTTTTAGTGAGTGTAGCTCAGCATCCGCTGGACCAATCAAAAAGTGCGCCATACATTTTTTGTTCGAGACTTTTTGCTAAATTTTTTGGCATTATTCCCGAGTCATTATCTAGCAAATTTTTTTTTTCGAAATTTTTTTCCCAGTTTTAGTGAGTGTAGCTCAGCATCCGCTGGACCAATCAAAAAGTGCGCCATACATTTTTTGTTCGAGACTTTTTGCTCAATTTTTTGGCATTATCCCCGAGTCATTATCTGGCAAATTTTTTTTTTCGAAATTTTTTTTCCAGTTTTAGTGAGTGTAGCTCAGCATCCGCTGGACCAATCAAAAAGTGCGCCATACATTTTTTGTTCGAGACTTTTTGCTCAATTTTTTGGCATTATTCCCGAGTCATTATCTGGCAAATTTTTTTTTTCGAAATTTTTTTCCCAGTTTTAGTGAGTGTAGCTCAGCATCCGCTGGACCAATCAAAAAGTGCGCCATACATTTTTTGTTCGAAACTTTTTCCCTATTTTATTGGCGGTATTCCGGAACGATTATAACGCAAATTTAATTTTTCGAAAATTTTCCGAATTTATTTTTTAGTATAGCTCAGCATCCGCTGGACCAATCAAAAAGTGCGCCATACATTTTTTGTTCGAGACTTTTTGCTCAATTTTCTGGCATTATTCCCGAGTCATTATCTGTCAAATTTTTTTTTTCGAAATTTTTTTCCCAGTTTTAGTGAGTGTAGCTCAGCATCTGCTGGACCAATCAAAAAGTTAGCCATACATTTTTTGTTCGAGACTTTTTGCTCAATTTTTTGGCATTATTCCCGAGTCATTATCTGGCAAATTTTTTTTTTCGAAATTTTTTTCCCAGTTTTAGTGAGTGTAGCTCAGCATCCGCTGGACCAATCAAAAAGTGCGCCATACATTTTTTGTTCGAGACTTTTTGCTCAATTTTTTGGCATTATTCCCGAGTCATTATCTGGCAAATTTTTTTTTTCGAAATTTTTTTCCCAGTTTTAGTGAGTGTAGCTCAGCATCCGCTGGAGCAATCAAAAAGTGCGCCATACATTTTTTGTTCGAGACTTTTTGCTCAATTTTCTGGCATTATTCCCGAGTCATTATCTAGCAAATTTTTTTTTTCGAAATTTTTTTCCCAGTTTTAGTGAGTGTAGCTCAGCATCCGCTGGACCAATCAAAAAGTGCGCCATACATTTTTTGTTCGAGACTTTTTGCTCAATTTTTTGGCATTATCCCCGAGTCATTATCTGGCAAATTTTTTTTTTCGAAATTTTTTTTCCAGTTTTAGTGAGTGTAGCTCAGCATCCGCTGGACCAATCAAAAAGTGCGCCATACATTTTTTGTTCGAGACTTTTTGCTCAATTTTTTGGCATTATTCCCGAGTCATTATCTGTCAAATTTTTTTTTTCGAAATTTTTTTCCCAGTTTTAGTGAGTGTAGCTCAGCATCCGCTGGACCAATCAAAAA